CCATTAAATTGTGATTAGCAAGCGCCTCATCTGCATAACTGCAGTCTCACGAGACGCCTTCCAATTCGAAATTTTTGTGACCGATAACGAAAATCGGGCTTACGTCGGATCTTCGAAATTAATTGAAAATTCCGTGAGATATTCTTGCATCTAAATTAAATAAAATACATAGTTCATAATGTTAAAAACATTTTCGGCGATTGCCTCCAGTGAGTAAAATTTTCTCTAAAGTAAATGACAAACAAAATAAAATATCTATAAATAACTTCGGATAGCTTGTGCAATAGCCATTTAAAAATAATGAATTTTATTTGTTATGAGTGTTCTTTGAATGTCGTCATGCTGGGTACAGATAATTAATAATGGAATTGATTATCATGTACATATATGATCACGTTAATTATAAATCCTATACAATTAGTTTCATTTTGAAATTATATCGCATTTAAAATTTGCGAATTTTCGATAGAGTGTAAATTTTTAAGATATTTTTGATGAGTATCGTATTTTTGTTCCGTATTTCCTTGCAGAAGAATTTAACTTTGATGTTGTATAGTGGAAGTATGTACGGGTCATGTGTAAGTCTATTCTTTCTATTTTATGATGCTATAGCGTAATCTTTAAAATGGGGTCGATATTCTATCTTCTTTGGTTTTCTTTATAGGAGCCATTTTTAAGCCGACTTACTATCCATGAACCAAGGCCTTGATATTACAGATAATTATATATATATAATAATACAGATAATTATATAAATAATATTAAAGATAATTATATTTATAATTCATTAAAGCCGGTCCGAGTCCTAACAATATTCTACGATAACATTCCCACAAGCCTCATTCCGCGACAGCCAATCTTGAAAACAATTAGGTATTAACTTGGCGCGTTGAGATGCGATTGTCATCGAAACGGGCACCTCATAAATGTGAATAAATAAAGTAGAAAAAGTGGTTGAATTGTTGATGTAAATAAATAGTTTCGTAATATCTTGACTCTATAATAGGCCAAAGAAATGTAAGATTTTACATTTGTATGTATTATATTTTATTGTTTAGCACAATAATTATTGTTGAAGACTACATCCAGCAACATCTCTGAAGTTGTCCCGACTGCAACCATTCAGGGACGAAGCCATTAATATTCTGCCAACTTTCGAAATATTTCAGCGCTACAATAAACTAATATTGTCCAGTCTACTGTCCAGCCTCTAAAACAAAGGACGCTTCGCGCACAACTTCAAATTCTTCTACACTTTTAATGGACTGCCTGTAGCCAAAAAAATTTCCCAGCGATTCTTTCAATCGCAGAGAGCGCAGAGGCTGCCAAAGCTGATAAGAAGTTTGCTGAGGGCCAATAATGGTTTCAGCTGCCGATGAAAAACGGGGCAAACTATTTCGTCAACATCATTTGCTCATGTCTAACTTTAGATGAACGAGTAATTTCTGTCAGTTAGGCAGATTTATAAGCAAGAAATTTGCTGGTAATGGACTTCTCCCTCGCTTTTTTCTCCAGCGCGTGAATGATAAATGTAAGTAATTTTTAGTACTTATTCACAGCAATCTGAAATTCCTCGATCTCACGTATACGATTACGTACACCACACTCGATGAGCGGAACTCTTACATTCATAATTAAACAAATTTATTTGAATGTAATTTTAAATTCAACGTTACCGTATCCGCAAGACCGATGCTTAGCTGCATACGTTAGTTAATCCGTCGTAGTAGCTCTTCAACACTGCTCAACGCTATAACTTGATCTCCATGTAACATATATGCTTGTTTTTATTAATTATCTAGGCAATTTAGAAGATGTAATGTCACAGATACCGTAAATTTCCTTAATTGTTCTTCCGAATTGAATAGCATAACCAATTAAAAGTTAGTAAAATGCTATTAAAATTAATTGCCTTATTTTTCAGCCGAGTTTTCTCCAATATAAATATTAGAATTATAGTTTATATTCTAAATCAGAGTGCATTTAATATAAGTTTCCTCGTAATTTTATGTACCGCAAAATATTTAATCATTATCTGGCGCAGCATTGACGAATTTAATTTAGTCTCTCCCTGAGTCGACGATGTTTCCAATTCGTTAGAGCAGGGCTAAAAAATTCTCCTAATCGTGACGTTGAGGACCCGACGAGACGTCAAGCAAATGGGCTTTGGTCGTAAAGATGACGTACAAGAATGCAGCGTCCGGGGCTATCATGCGATGCACAAAGGAACAGCGCGTGTCTCCGCATTAAATTTAGAGATTAAATATACAATGGGCGGCCAGTCTCCTTAATAAGAAATCATGCGGCGTGTGAGGTGAATTATTACGTTCCATAACAGTTGATGAAAGCGGTGTTAATAAAACGGATTTTGTCGCCAGTGACATTATGGCAGAATATTTCCAGTATTTTAATTTTCTTCTTAAGAAAAATTTATTTTTATTGATTATGTTCACTCACTAATATGAGAAAAATCAGGACGAGAACTTTCCAATTTAGATGAGATCATATATCAACTTCACTAATTATGTATATCAGAGAGAAATACCGAAATTATTGTATAACTAAGTTTGATGAAAGGCTTAAAGGCTTACGGTGAGAATGAAGTGCTGAAGGTAGTAAATGTCGCTTCATTAATTAATGGATATTATAGAAATCGCTTCATCCAATATCTAAACACTGGCTTTGAGAAGCGTTTCCTCTGAGTTATAAATAATATAAGAATTCTTTAGTGAATGAGAATGTTCGGGTGAATGAGTATGTGCGACTCATTTATTTTTAGCACAAGGTTTGTCATTTAAGAGTCACGTACTATACTAAATACTAATTGATATACATGCATCATGTTTAGAAGAATACATGGAAGAATACATGGAAGAAAATTGAATTCAAATAAAGAGTTTCCGTTCTGGCAGTTCTTCAGTTTCATTATGTTTTGGATAATTGCAAAACACACTAAAGTATGTGAGACGGGTAAATATATTGAAGAATTCTGCACTGTTAATTGGATGGGCTAATATTATATTGTAGAATTCTGTAAAGTTTATGAAAGTTTATCATGTACAAACGTACAATTACATACAGCGAACCATTATAAAGGTAATAATATTATCGCTTAGGATTGTTTGAACGTGAAACAATAAATTCGTCCAATAAGTAAAATATTGATTGGGAATCTAAGAGTTTCTACTGATGCAAATCCGCGATTAGTAATATCAAAAAAAAGTTGATTTCTTTTAAACGGAATTAGTAGAAAGATAAAAGTCATCAAAACAAGCACCTGCTTCAAGCAATCAATTGAGTAAATGATTTATTAAAAATATTATTTAGTATATAGGCTGAACTCTAGTCAGACTAGCCTATTGAAGTATATACCTATAACTCAGAGGTGGGTAATCTTTCGAAAAATGACATTTCCTCGCAACAAAATTATTGAAGAAATATATATTAAAAAATTATGTTCATACTGTTATGATTCATTACTTGCAAAAAAATTCTAATCTAATAACAATATCATAAACAGTTCTATGACAAAACGACGATTGACTGATGGTACGGGAACGCAAAAATTCGGTTTCCGCAATGAATGCATGCGAAAGAAAACAAAATTCATTTTTTAAACTTATAGTAGATGCCAAAACTCCCATAATGCCGGTCCTGTTGTGCTTAACATTTGTTACAAATAATGTCAAAAAAGCTAAAATAAAGAGAGATACGAGCAGGCTAATTTTTAAACTCATCAGGTTATTTATATATACTATATAATATATCATTCATATATACTATATACTATATCATTCAATAATAGAGGTTATTCAAATCATAAGAAACATGTCTGCACAACTGGCGTAACTGGAGTTTCTTGCAGCAACTCACAATCTATATTGAACACAATAAAGTTTTACTGGTTGAAAAATGTATATAAACAAATATAAACTTGAGATATATAGCACCGTTTAATAAATGGTATATTTTATGTTATGCAAAGTTCAAGACTCACAAATATAAATAATTAACCATGTTTCACGTGGTGTTTATTATATGAAACACAATATAACGGAGAAGATGCGAGTAGTTACTCAGGTACAATAGTTTCGAAAGATAGCCTGAACATGGGCTTTGCCATATTGACATGACCTCTCTAATGCCCTATATTGTCAACAACAGCCGCGAGTTTATCAATATCCTCGAAACTTCATGAATATTAATAATTGATAATAAGTGTGAGTTGAATAATATTGACGAGATCTTATGAACTTAGTGCGTGTAGCAACAAACTAAGTCTCGACTAGCCTAACATCCACTCCATTTCTTGAATAACCAGTGGGAAACTACACTATAATCCTCGAGTAGCGCAATAACAACTAAATTTCATGAATCTGCAGGGAAGATCTACGAAAAAACTTCTAGTTTGATAAAATCCACGCATTTCTTGAATGCATATCACGGATCTACACAATAATCCTCCTGTAAGAAGGTTATCCACACTACTGTCGGAATAGTACCTGTTGTAATATGGATTAGTGCTCTTCAATAAGTGGCTATGAATTATTGTATTTTGGATAATTGAATTATCTTTCTGTATTTTTCATTTCGACGCGTATTCATTTGTGTCATATATTTGTCTCGGCAGGGCAGAGCGAAGTCCCTCTCCTCTTTATAGTCTCTCTGTAGGTTAATAGTCTAATTATGATCGCAATTCTAAACTGTTGGGAATAAATATTCCCAACATAATAATAATAATAATAATTACATAATAATAATTCATGAATAAATATAAAAACTTTTTATCTATCAACTGAACCCAACATCATCACACCTCCGTTTACATAGTATCCACTCCACTTCATGAAAATCCAGCGAAGCTCTACGAAAAACAACTCGAGTTTCATAACATCCATGCATTTCATGAATATCTATCAATGATCTACCAAATTTTCCTCGGCTTAAATACACTTATGAATATCCACTTCCACTTATAATATCCTACACTTCATGAATACCCAGCGACGATCATCGTTCTCCGGCAATCTTCGCATTCGCCGTTTGAGTTCAGGGTTCAGCCTGAGGTCAGGGTTGAGCCTGAGGTCAGGTTTCATGCCTGCGCACTTACCTGATGTTGGATCAACTTCCTAACTTCCTAACTGAACACCGTATTAATTTACTTCTTTGATGACTTTCTGACTTGCTTGTAAATTCGATTATTTTAGCGCAACAACCTTTTGAACCTGAGCTAGCATCGTCGTGGTATCCTGTAATAATGAAATACTTTATAATGTATATAATTAATGAATATTGTTTTTCAATATAGTGAAATTAAATATTTGATAATGAAGGCTTTTACGAAAACGATGGTATAATTTTGAGTTCATAGTTTTCAGTATTAAATTAATATTCGTTTGAGCAGCTTACTGCTAGATTATAAATGTTTTGGATGTTTGGAGCTCTCAAATTGGTCAAGTCCGTTCAATAATGCAATATAATTAGCATAATTCTATTGAAAAGTCATTGTTTGATGTTCATAATCTAAAAATTTTAATCACAATCATCGAAAGGTTGTAGTAATGCAGTAATTGATGCGTTGAAATATAGCTAGCTCGGTAGGAATAAGCTGTGCTCCTTTAAATATTCATGTGGTATCTACATTGAGAAATTCAATGTCTAAAGGGCAGCCTTCAGCTGAGAATGTGCTGCTCTGTTCAGTGTCGCTGCGGCTTCCATTGGGTGTGGGTGTGCTAAATGTTGCTCTTGACCCCCATGGCACGTGTACACTGTACAGATGTCGAATGAAATTTATAAGTGAAATAGAAAATAAAAATTATGACAAGCAGCAGTGAAAAAGGCTCTTTGCAAGGAAAGTGTAAATTTGTTTAATTTTAATCCGGTTTGACAATGCTGTGATTTTTTATGAAAAAAATGACTTGTCACGTAAATAACGTTCAGACAAGAACATGGGGCAACGTTTTCCGTGGCCTGGTCGTTATTTTAATTTACGCAGGTATGTAAATTTTCAACATAATTCATTATTTCTCACCTCTCAAAGCATCACTAAATGATTTAGAATGTTCATGAATAAATATTTTGCTACTGTTTCGACTAAATTTTCATTTTTATTTCAAATTTTATATACAAAAAGGAAGGAGTAAATGAAATATTCGGGAAATATTCCGTAGAGTTGTAGGGATTATGGAGTTCTATCTTTTCTGGGCTGGCTATTCATGAATATAATTAAAATTTAATTTAGAACGGGCTTGGTGGCATTTATTAATTAACTGAGATGTTTGTTTTACTTTACGTTTCTGAGTGGGTTAAAAACGTAATAGGGCGTTTGATATATTATTCCTCTCCCGTTAACAAGTTTCAAATTGTATTGTTATTTCTGAAGTTAATCAAGGTAAAAACTTGATGCAGTACCAGTGAAAAAAATTTGTGGGTTAAAAATGGGGAAATCTTAAACCATACCACTTAATCTCCCCGCTGAGACTCCGTATACCCAGACACGATAAGTGTCTTGGTTGCGCTATCGAGCAGTTCTTATATAAATACGGCGCCTGGCTTCTACAAGCTTAAAAAAACTAAAAAACTGTTAATATCATATATAATATGATCCATTCGAATCATTTAATCAAACCTCATGATTTCGAATGGGTATTGACTTGCCTTTGGCTGAAACCATTGACGAATAAATTGACTGGATGTGAATGATTGTTACCCAGTTGAGTGGACTACGGGATGTCGAAATTAAGGGGATAGAATTAAAAGGTGAAACTTAGATGACAATGCTGAAAGGATTAAATTACGATGACTTAATTGAAATGACTTAGTTGAGTACACGAAATTGAAATGACTGACTGCAACTGAATCAATTGAGGTGTCGGATACGTAATTAAAATATTGAAGTGACGGAAACATACTGACAAAATTGAGGTGACAGAAACATACTGACAAAATTGAAGGGACAGAAACGCACTGACAAAATTGAAGTAACAGAAAGGCACTGTCAAAATTGAAGTGACAGAAAGGCACTGTCAAAATTGAAGTGACAGAAAGGCACTGTCAAAATTAAAGTGACATGGATGCGCGCAGGGATGACAGGATATTCTCCAGAGAAGGAAATGACAGTAGGATGACGACCATCCTACAGGAATAGGATAACAGCGGGATGAAGATAATCCTAAGGGAATGAAAGACGGGGAATGACAGGAAATTAGTATGATGATGACAATCCTACGGGAATGAAAGAAAGGAATGATAGGAAATCAGTATGATAACGAAAATCCTAGTGGAATGAAGGACGGGGAATGACAGGATATCAGTAGGATGACGACAATCCTACAGGAATGAAGGGAAGGTATGATAGGATATCAGTATGATGACAAAAATCCTAGTGGAATGAAAGAAGGGCATTGCAGGATATCACTTGGATGACGACAATCCTAGGGCAATGAAAGGCAGGGAATAACAGGATATCAGTAGGATGACGATAATCCTGCAGGTTACAGGATTATATTTTTGCTTCTAGTCATTGACGCTGAGTTCCGACCGCCAACTCAGTACAAAAGCGATCAAAACTTCTGACGTCGCAATTCCCCCCCGCGAGGCTCTAGGACGAAATCGTTTTAATTTCGGCCGAAAGAGTTGCAGATTTAAAAATAAATACATTTCCTCTGTATATATATATATAAATATGAGTGGAGAGATAGACATTATGTTTTTAATAGGTGCACTAATTATGTGTTCAGTCATGAATGATAAATGAAATTTAAACCTTAAAAGAGATGTGTTAATTTTACTTGAATGATTTAGGAATAAATTGGGTAAGAAATTCAAGTTAATCATTTAAATTAAGGGAACTGAATGCAGAAAATTTATAACATCCGCTCAATCAAGCTCAGGTTCTAGTTATAATTACTTCGACGTGTATCAAAATAATTTTTTCTCTCTTGTTTTTTGATTTACTACAAATAAATTTTTGCTCATGATACCAAACGCATATGAACGAATTTTTAACAAATTTTAGTATACTTCTTTGATGATATTTCCTCCACCTAAATTCGTATTTCTCATCCTCTATCTATTTTTTCATAAAGAAAATAATTATATTGTAATAAGGTGAATAGTTGCCTATGATTCGAAGTGAATAAATTGGAGGCCTCAGTACGCGTGAGTAATTGGGGGCTCAGTTATTCAGTGCCTCGAGGGAGCTACTGTATAGCACACAGCACCGAGTCTAGCCTCCGCGCTCTAGCCCTCTTCTGAACGGGTGCACATTGTTAAACTTAATAAAGTTAAAGAGTCTTAATAAAGTTGTCTGAAAGATTTGATGAGCTAATATATAAGAATTAGTGTTGGTTTTATGTTAGGTGTATAAGCAATTAGCTATATTTGTGTTGAATGACATCCTAGAGCAAAATGAAGCCTGAGGAATAGGAATAATAGAGGTGAAAAGGTATGGGAAGAAGACAGAATAAATCCGAGAAAAAGGATATATGATGAGCTTTGATTTTATTGATTTTTTTTATAATGATAAGGTTTGATTATATAATGCAAGCTTCATTACGTTATATGAGGGTCCCTGTATAATGGCTGTATTTGTCTGAAATATTTAATGAACTAATATATAAGAATTAGTGTGTGTTTTTTTGCTTAATGTATGAGCGCTTGGCTGCAAGATTTAAAGAACTAATATATAAGAATTAATGTGTGTTTTATGTTGAATGCATGAGCGCTTAGCTGTATTTGTGTTGAATGACATCCATGAGCAAAACGTGGCCACAGGAATAATAGAGGTGAAAAGGTGTGGGGAAACAGACAGAATAAATCCGAGAAAAAGGATATATACTGAGGATTGCTTATATAATGCAATTTTCATAACGTCTTGTGAGGCTTACTATATAATGCAATATTCATTACATTATATGAGGGTCACAAATTCAGTAATAATCATTAAAATTAAAGGAGCAAAATCATCAAAGTACAACGTTTCTATAACACTTTAAGCACCAATTGATCCTATATCTTCTTCAATGATCACTGAAAAATAAGAATTTGAATCTTAGCTAAGCAATGGCGGACTGAGTCCAGCACTCGCTTACCTTCAGGGGCGCTAATACCTTCATCGATACTGCGCTGCATCCTAATGAAATAACTTTCTTTTAGGTGCAATGAACCGACAGGAAATATGAGAAAAATCGTCAAAAATGCACCAACAGACCCAATGCATAATCTCAGACACTCACCTCAACCTCTGCGTTTGATAATATAATATTCGGCCTCGAGCTCAACCTCTGCGTTTGATAAAATAATATTCGGCCTCGAGCTCAACCTCTGCGTTTGATAATATAATATTTGGCCTCGAGCTCGGCCTCTGCGTTTGATAATATAATATTCGGCCTCGAGCTCAACCTCTGCGTTTGATAATATAATATTCGGCCTCGAGTTCAACCTCTGCGTTTGATAATATAATATTCGGTCTCGAGTTCAACTTCTGCCTGGGTTTGATAATATAATATTTGGCCTTAAGCTCAACCTCTGCGTTTGATAGTATAATATTCGGCCTCAAGCTCAATCTTTACGTTTGTGCTTACCAAATTCTTTTTCCCACGTTTATGAAACTGCGCTATACGCTGAGTTACGCAATCCGAAGGATAGTTACTATTTTAATTTTATTGTTGAACCAAATAATTTTGTTGGTATTTACGTCATTTAGCTTCTTAGTTTGATTTTCTTCCAAGCAAAAGATCTTTAATTGATTTTTATTTTATTTTATCTCGCTTTTCCGTCCAGAAATTCCTTTCGTCTCTCGATTGTTCAATTAATTCGCAGTTAGCCTTGACCATATTCAGCCATCTGTTATCAACTAATGAATTACGATCGGTATAAAACATTTGTATTGTCGTAATTATCGGTGGATGTCGTAATTTCGCAAGATTCATAGGTTGTCTTCCTCCAGCCATCAATTTCGATGTAATATGTCCATGTCTATTTGAAAATTCATTGATTTGATCATTACATTTTACCCGAATACATTGGCACAATTTAACATGTAAATTTGAATTTATTGCACAACCCCGCCATTTTTTTGCCACAATTCACAAATTAATATCTTAGATCAGTTCAATCACAGACACATTGTGCGTTTCACCATTGCAATAATAACTGTGTTGATCTTCACTTTCAGCACAAACCAGGGCAAAGTTGATGTAAATAATAATTTTATAAAAATATGCAATTGTTCAGTAACTTTTATCCAAGCCTTAGTTTCTTCGATGCAGCTGAATGGTTCTAAAAAATAAACATTTTCGTGACACACTTTATTCCCACCCAGAATCAATTAAATTTAATAGGATTAGGATGCCAATATTCAGCTTAAAATCTTTTACCTCATCCCAAAAGCCGTTCCGATGCAAGTAATAAATTCATATGAATGAAAGTTGTTGTTGGTGCATTTTACTACAACCCTGAGTATCAGTTATTAAATATGATAAATAAATTGTTCTATTGGCATCTTTTACCGTATCCCTCAGCCATGCCTGGGTGTATGGGGGACCCCACGAGCGGCCCCCAGCTGCTGCTGACTCCCCCATCGCGGGTGACGTTCTCGTCCACGACGGGGGTGGTACTGTCGTGTGTGGCGGGGGGATCGCCTCCCCCCACGGTATCCTGGCAGACCAGGGATGGGAGATCTCTCTTACCCCAACCCCCTTTGCTTGACGTGCTCAGTAACGGGTCAATCGTCCTGCACTCCTTCTCTTCTGACCGGTTAGTGGAAGCCATTGAAGTAGTGGATNTCTGGCTTGCCGATTAGATTCTTGATAAGCAACTGATTACGTAGTTTGTCGTGTGTTCTGAGCAAAATGTAAAAATTCGATACAAATATAATATAATTATAATTGTGTATATGTGATGCGTAAAACTTTATCAGAAAGCAAAGTTAGTAGCGAAATATATATATGACTTAGAAAGTGAGAATGAATAAATATTTAACATTTTACTCACAAATGCATGCATATAGATCATATTGTGGAACGAGTTATATTCTCTTAGCTAACGAGTTACCGCGTTCCAAAGGATTATTTGACACTGAAACCAATCACTTCTCTCTTTGATGGCTTCAGTCCCTGGCAACTTCGATCGGATTCCCATAAGAAAGTTTATGTGTGATTCGCGGGGCAAAACTAATGGAACTGATTTAATTTAGATCATTGTAAGTATTACGAACAAAAAACGGCATTAATGATGTCGACGATCTACATATGCAAGTACTTTAACGCATTCAACCGACAGTCGTCGAGGAAGCGGGTAGAGCTGCTCAGTGAAGTTTCGGTAATTGGACCGCTGCTCGTGAGATGGATGGATTCGCCATGGAGATCAATCGCTGATATCCAACAGAAATTGAGCTCGGATCATGAATCTCAAATCAGCTTGCAAACGAAGCGTGAACTTGATAACTAAGATTTAAATTTATCGGCTAGGAGTGATTTGGACATGTCACTAAGCTATACATAACTTCTTAATAATTTCTTTGGTTATTTATCATCTAAATAACTGGCGCAAACCTCATAATTTTCATTAAGCTTTTATATTATGTAAACTATTTATTTATATCAAAGTTTATATCTCATTCACATCTAAAGTTGAAAGCTATTCAGTAACGATTTTAAAATTTTCCTTCTTTCTCATTATATTCTATTCTTATATCTGCATCAACATTATTACAATACATAAATTTTCTTCAAAACTATTGCATTACTAAGAATTCATGAGATTACGAGCCAATTCGTTCATGACATCGTTCGTAACAACTATTATAAAAATTAGTTTATAATACATTTTTGTAATCCGTTTAGTAAATGTCTCATCAAGCTGGGCCGTTTTGACCGAATATGCAAGCAACCAATTAATTTGAAATGAAAACGACCAAAGCCAAACAAAATTTACTTCTCAACTAAAGCCATAAACTAAATAGCATATTGTAATGGAACGAACATTAAAATTGAATGCCTTTTCTCACTTAATTTGATTTTGAAGTGTTTTTTAAATGACTTTTTGCAGCAAAAAGGTTGCGTCTCACGGCCAGCCATTATATTGCGGCACTGTTTTTTAAAAACGAAGTTCCCTCAACCGTCCTCATATCAGAGTTTAGAGCCAAGGCAATGTCGGTAATGAGCTTTACATTAACCCTCTACCGCTATATGCCACTCTCCGGGAACACAACTTTCAATTTAAATTATACGTAAACTATTGAGTGTAGCAACCTGAGGCCGTTTGTACGCAACAGAGAACATTTTAAAGATGTACGTGGAGGCAACCATCAGTGCAAGTCGTTTTGCGCTCACTAGAACATATCCTTTTTGAGAAGTAGGCTTGTGATAATATTGCTCCGGTTACTCATATCATGCAGGCAGTAGAGGTTAATCTTAAATGGGAGATGGGAATTGGTTCAATGATTGTTTGTATTATGAATGTCAAAATAAAACATGATATTTCCCCCTTAAATAATTGATACACCGTTTACACTTTCACACTGGGACTTATCGACGTTGTAAGCTACCTTTTCTCGCTGCTTAAAAAAATCTAAGATTATGACTTGTGGAAGCCAGTTTCCATTTGCCATTCTATCAAAATTTGTTTAGAAACTTTAAAATTCGCCCTGAATGAAGAAACGCATAGTATATATTAACTGAAAGGCAGGTTCTTCCTATCGGATTAAAATTACGCATAATGAATTAATGTTCCCAGCCAAGTTTTACCCGTTAATCCTAGCGGATTTGAACTAAATTAATCGTGAAAAGCATATAAGTATATTGTTGCAGAGTCAGCGTAACGCTCAGGTGCTCACAACTCATTAGGCAACTTCAGACCCTGGCTTACGCGCAGCAATTATCAGATTAAAAAGAAAGCCGATATTCACGAGCCTCATGATTATCAGACTTACAGCAAAGGCCAATAACAAGGCTGAGAACTTTCATCTCGACATTTTACGATAAGGATGTAAATAACATGTAAAATAGCAAGTTTTCTTTTCGCAAAAAAATCTTCGGTGTAAATATATGCCTAATGACCATCAAATGTAACTTAAATTGTGTCATCTTCTATATAAATCACGAATATTTTTGTGTGATAACTCCGTGGCTTTCTTATAATCGATTAACTACTCATGCTACAGGGTCATCAGGTGATTCTGATGTGTCGGTAATGCTTTCAGTTATATTGCGGGCATTGAAGCAGGATGATATGAAATTTGGAATCTTTATGAAGGAAGTATAAATAATCAACACTTTAATTGGTTGAAATTAATCTTAAGTTCATGCAGGAGGAAGTTTTCACCTGCTGTCATGATTCTCTGAAACTTAAAAAAATAAATTCAGAGTTCATTTCATTTATGCCATCTTAAGTTTCTTGTTAAAATCTTTTATATTTAACCCAAATTCAGGATTTTTGAGCAGAGGTTTGGGGAAATTTTCCGTCTAGCACATTCTTTTAGGCACCACTTCTTCATTTTAGAGGCATTTGGATTTTAAACTTTCGAGGCTTTGAGTCCAATTTTAATTATGGCTTTACACTTCTGTTAACCTATTGAACGTCGCATACAATTCCGTACACCCTTTCAGTGAGCGGTAAATACAATTAGGCGCACCCCCTCACTGAATGTTAAACATAATTGTTGAATATAGTTCCGTTCACCCTTTCAGTGAATTGTAAATACAATTCCGTGTACAATATGAATTAGCGGTAAAAACATTTATGTGCTCCCACTCACTGAGTGTTAAGTACATTTATGTGCTCCCGCTCGTTGAGTGTTAAGTACATTTATGTGCTCCCACTCATTGAGCGTTAAGTACATTCATGGGCTCCCACTCAGTGAGTGTTAAGTACATTTATGTGGTCCCACTCATTGAGTGTTAAGTACATTTATGTGCTCCCACTCATTGAGTGTTAAGTACATTTATGTGCTCCCACTCACTGAGTGTTAAGTACATTTATGTGCTCCCACTCATTGAGTGTTAAGTACATTTATGTGCTTCCACTCACTGAGTGTTAAGTACATTCATCTGCTCCCACTCATTGAGTGTTAAGTACATTCATGTGCTCCCACTCTTTGAGTGTTAATTACATTCATGTGGTCCCACTCACTTAGCATCAGTTTGCAGTACACGTGTTTACTGGTGCAGTTACAGGGCTGAGCTGCACGCTGCGTCGCTGCGATGCCTCGCTCGTAACCGACACGGCAGCGTCATCTCAGCCACCGTCGCTCTGCACGCCGGTGAGATTAACTTTAATTTGTTTTAGTTTTTAATCAAATTAAATTTATTCATTAATTTAAATTGTGGTGCAATGAGCACTCAATGATTTGTTTATTGATTCGATGATTCGTTAATCGCTTTCTGAATTTAATGATTCGCTAATCGCTTAATGATTCGATTATTCGTTTTCTAACTTTACTAAGAAAGTTGGAACAATTTCAATCCATGTCCCCATATGAATAGATTGTAGGCTCGAAAATTAATTCATCTGATCAATTTTTTCAAAGCATACTGGAATTTAGAGACAAGTTCTAATTTACTGCAAATTATCATTTATTGAGTGAGATTGTCCTAGAATATTAGTTTTATTTGAAAATTATAGCTGAAATGTCAGTGAATAATATAGAATACCAGGGTGGTCTCGTGGCGACCAATTGTCAGAAATAATGTGATCGCTTCTGTGCGTGTCGCGGGTATCGAGCAGCAGGGATCATAACCGTGCCTAATCTAATATTTCTTCTTCTTAGAAGCTTTCTCATTTCATAACTAGATAAAATTTACCGATACTGTGAAATCGTAATATATATTTTTTCTAATTACTGAATAAGTAGCATTAAAAATAGGTTGATTGTAGCTGAAAACTTGGAGCTTGAAAATCGACCTGTCGCAAATTCTGTAACTATTGCATGCATTCCCTCATATGAGGAAACTTCATCAATCTACTAATCAATTATTACGAAATTTTGATTAAAAGGTGCTGGAATAATTAGCAGGATTTAAATAAACTTCGATAAAACCAATCTAGTTAGAGGTCCAATGTAAAATTTGGTTTGTATACAAACATAAAAATTTTTCAACCAGCTTTTCACCAACAAATTAAGAAGATTTATTCTTAAAACCTTATATTATGGCATTTAATTAAATTATTGGCTAGACTTCATTCATTGAGCGCCCGTAATATGTACAAAGAACGTCCATTTAAAGCCATCCAAATCTGCTCGTAAACAGCTCTTGTACTCGAATCTCGATCGTCGTGGATGGACTCCTCGCGTCGGCCGCTATAAAACATGATTGTGTTTCAATGTTACTCGATCCATTAACAGCCATTTGACACAATTTAATAATTAAAGCCGGTTAATAATTTATTAATGTGTTAGCGGAGCGCTGAACTTAATTAACGTCATAAAACCTTTTGAAAATCATTGCTTATGCATGTAATGAGCTTAGCCCTGGACGCATCAAATAAGGGGAATGGATAAATTAATCATAGGAAATCCGGATATAATTTGTGGATATTTTCACTGTGAAAAGTGAGTATTTGACATGAAGAACGATGCTATTCTAACGAAAAAAGTAGTGAATATATTTTGTATTCAATTAGAAATAAAACATGCTTATTTCGGGATTTGTACCGAATCATATTGTTTGTATTATGAATATGCAATATAATTATTATTTTGTATTAGATTTTAATAAATAATGATGGTTTTTCAAGGAGGGGCAAAACATATTATGGGGTTTATAAAAATATATAAATTCGAACTAAAACTTTTAGACTGCGGTATGACAAGTCTTAAGGCTGAATAATACCGGCGAAAACAATTTTGTGTAAATATCTCCAAGCTCATTTCAAAAATTTCCGAAGCCTCAACAAATGAGACGAATACTATGCCATTGAGTCATACAATGAACATTCTACAATGTATTGTAAAAATATACAATTTTTACAATACAATTCAACAATGACAAAAACTGTTCACCTACTGTCATTATAGACACAGATACACAACTGCAGCAATTCAATGACGAGAGAATTCATACAGTGGTATGTAAAGTCATACAATGATGGGACAATAATGAAATGATGAGTACATTTACATAATGATTATATTATTGCTGCTTATACAATTGATGGAAATAGCAAAACAGTAGAGAAGAGTTCCTCATTGCACCACGAGAACATCTTCATTAATAAGTAGTCAATCCACTGATAACGACGCAGACAATACAGTATGTCTTCAGCTAATATATTTAATGCAAACACTCGCGATGTCATGAACGTCGTATAATATTGAAATTCATTATAAATATTATATTTTTATTATATTATTGTCTATTTATTTCAATAAACTGTAAACAATCAATTCCTTGATCAATATTATAAATAATATATTTTATTATATATGCTATTATTATTATATTATATATTCTTTAAGTGAAATAATAAGTTACTTTGTCGCTCTGTCTGGCAGTGGTGGGACAGGAGGTGACGGTGAAGGTGGAGGGGGACAGCGCCTTCCTTGGGGGGCCTGCGGTGCTGCGGTGTGTGGTCCCGTCTCACCTCAGACCACACGTGGTCCCCGTTGCCTGGGAGACCCAGAAGAGAACCATATATCCCAGCACAAGCCCTGGTAATGCTGGGAGCCTGATGGTTTAATTTATATTTAAGTTATTCCATGTTTCTTTCAAGTTTTTTATGAAATAAATTTATTATGTTATACTTTTTATTGTATAGGAAATTTTCCTACTGATATTAGAATAATTGGTTGCCTGTTGCCCATCAGTTACTTCTACTTATTATTATAATCTATTTCACATGTCACACATGCATCACAAACTTGTATTATGAAGTGAAAAAAATGTTTTCGGTCATCTTTAATAATCAAGTTTAGGTACAGTACTTGGTTTTTCTGATAGTTGGTACTTAATATATCAAATGAAAATCTAAAACATTTATCCTTTCACGTTTGTAATTAATATTCATCAGTTCTTGCTGCATGCCAGTGTTTGAATCATTACATGAAACATTTCCGATTGTCGCTTTCACATGACCGGCGGCAGTGTCACCTGATCGTTTCGTAAATCAAATGAAAATCTTACAAAGTTGATCCTTTAATTTGGTAATTAAATTTACCATCTCTTGTTTCGTTCAAATCTTTCATGCTTAACATTCCAGAAGGCCACTATCATATGATCGGTGGCTGTGGTGACCTGATAGTTTCTTGAATCAAAGGAAAATTTTGCAACCTTGATCCTTTCATTTTTATAACTGATATTAACCAGTTCTTGTTCTGTTATTCTTAACATTGCAGAAGGTCGCTACCACATGATCGGTGGCACAGGCGACCTGATCGTAACGGATGTACAGGCGAGCGACAGTCTCACGAGCTTCGCCTGCCGTGTGCTAGACGCGCTCACCGACACATACTACACATCATCGGCGACTGGCACTCTGCGCGTACTGCGTGAGTTACGAGTTTAATTACCCACGTATTGAGAGGGTATATGATGCGTGTGTTATTATTTAATCACTCACCTATTGGTAGTAAATAATGGAATTGCTCTTACACTCTTCTCGACATTGGTCCCCTGGTGCATTTTGCAGGAGTTAATTAATTATTTGTTACGTATATTCGTTTTGCAAAGGATTTGAATACACGATTTTCATTCCGTTTTCTTTATAAAATCAGTTTCTGTAAACAAAACAATATACAAAGGAAAAAATTGGTTACATAGAATTTGTATTGCACATAAGGTATGTCCGAGAAATAAAATCATTTATTTTGAACATAGAACATGATAAAAGTGTAGTATAGAATACCACGCGGATCTTCAGAATTAAAATACAGGTACCAAACATTTCCTTCTGTTCACATTAGAGTCAACACCGAAACTGAAATTCTAGATGCTTATAAAACTGAACTAAAGTAAAATGTCGGTGACACGCATGCTTCAGTCGAGCGAAATATACAAGAGATGTTCATTTGAGAACCAGGAATTCAACATTATTTATTTCCGAGCTTCATGTGAACTCGCGGAATACAAATTCGAAATACTGATAGGCTACAGCATAATAACATCAACGGAACCATTTTTTATTCAACGAATTAAACTTTAGCACTTAATCTTTTAATATACATTCTAATTTCTATTTCAATATTATATTCTAATGATTTATTTATGACATCGGCATGGCAGAGCACGGAGAAGCTGCCCGGCCTCAAATCACGACGAAAATAAGGAGTGTGACTGTGAGCGAGGGTAGCGTTCAGCTCATCCCTTGTGTAGGCAAGGGGATTCCGACTCCCTCGGTCAGGTAAATAGTGTTTAGAGTTTTTAGAATTAAAATTAAATAAATTTGCTACATTACTAGGTATTGCTAGGCTGAAGTTTTTCCGAACGAGGTTTTTGAAGAATTTTCAAAGATTATATTCTTTTTGCTTGAATTAATTTTCAGTACACGATATATATTAATTGTTTCCTTTAATTTGCAATTATTTTACTCCTTTAATTTATTATTATGAGTAGATTTGATTGGAGTCAGTCAGGGATAATGAGGTATGCTCTAAAATCCCTCAAAAAACTGGTGCGTTGAACTTCTTTTAAGTACGGTAATGAATTTCTTTATATCGCAAAATTACGAATTATTGGGATTTGGGGCGAATAAATTTGTCTTTGTGGAAAATATTTGTCATAGTGAATGATTTATGAATAAAGGCTAAAACCAAAAAAGTTGCATAAAACATTTTACTGAATAGAAGTCCTAGAAAAATAAAACAGAACGTTTCGGGCTATGCCCATCATCAGCTAGTAAAATACATCTGGAAATACATGGAAATCAATTTTAGTAAATAAATTTAGAAAATGATAAGGAAAGAAAGGCCTTTCCTTATTTCGGCCACCAATCCGTCACGACGAAAATAAGGAGTGTGACTGTGAGCGAGGGAAGCGTCCAGCTCATCCCGTGTGTAGGCAAAGGGATTCCGACTCCCTCGGTCAGGTAAACAGTGTTTAGAGTTTTAAAATTAAAATTAAATAAATTTGTTACATTACGACTCCTTCGGTCAGGTAAACAGTGTTTAGAGTTTTTAGAATTCGGATTAAATAAGTTTGATACATTACTAGGTATTGCTTGCTAGGTTGAAGTTTTACTGAACGAGGTTTTTGAAAAATTATACAAGATTATATTTTACTTGCATGAATTTATCTTCAGTGCATGATATATATATTTTGTTTACTTCATTTTGCAACTATTTTATGCCTTTTATTATTAGGAGTAAATTTGTTCTTTATGTCATTAAATTATGAATTATTGGTATTTGGGGCGAATGAATTTGTCTCTGAGGAAAATATGTATTTGTCATAGTGAATGATTTATTCACTATGTGTAATGTGAATAAATTGTGATGAAGTGATGGAATAAGACAAATTGCAGCACGTGAATAATTCTGAAAAGAAATTATTAGTTGTGAACAGTTATGAGATGCGGCATTGAAATATTAAGATATATTTGAATATTATTGTGAATTTTTGTTTAAATCTGTTAAATCTAAAATTAATGACTCACATTACAGCCGCCCTTCCTATATTATCCCCCTTCATTCATTATTTTGTATCGCTATTTCCGTGCATTTTTTCCAAGTTATCAAACAGTTCCATCTAAAATTTATTTATATGCTTCATCGTTCAGTTTTTACTTGCATCTGCATTTAGTGATGAAGCCTGTTCACTCAGACCGGCCACTTTCAAGAAGTTCGTCGTAAAGCATCTTGAGTTTCGCTATTTGTGTTACAGTCGTTTATACATATTTATGATACATAAAATTTGTGTTGATAAACTAAAGAATCGTTATCGATGTAAGTGATACGAATAGCTCAGGCTATGCATCAATAGCTCTCTTATTTAAATTTTTGATTTTAGAACCTATACCCTGTTTTTGCGATCAATTTTTCAGTATGAGTCTTTCACTGGGTTCTTTCGTTCATTCTTTTCGCATATATTCTGCTTCATAACTTTTCATCCATATTTTCTTTATACATGAAGCGTTTGAAATACCAATCTCACTTCCTTTCTCGGTAAAAATTTGGTTGGTCTGGCTGGCGCTGAAGTAAGAGCTTTCCGACATCCCCATCGCTCCTACCCTATCAAAATTTACAGGCATTAGCGACCCTGCATTAGGGCCGCCTCGGACTAGGGGAGAACGTAAATTAGCTCATCTATATCTTCTTCGGTTCTGCTAGCTCGGTATGACTCGAATCGGCCAATCCTTGTTATACTCTCTTGCGACTATAATGTCGGAAAGGAGATTCTGACGAGAAAGTGATTTCGATCGGATGGTCAAGCAGACCTAGAATAACTTTGCGCCGAGTATAGCGACTATTCGGCCGAAGCCTAGGCCTTCCCCGATTTTGTTAGGGTAAATTATTTACCCTAACACCCTATTTTTACCCTATACCCTATTTACCTCTGGAATATTACTTATATAATATCTTCCAGAGAAACTAATTACGCCATGCTTGCTTCTTTCTCGTCTGAATAGAAAATCATACATGTTTTTTTCGTGAATGTCACATCGCAGAGAGTTAATCCTTTACATTGAGCTTCGATCTCGTTCATTTTCCTTTATGTAGTTATGTGTCAACAACCGAAGGTGAAAAAAAAGTTCTTATCTTCGTTTTCTATTGAAAGATATTGTTTCTTTTTTGTATCTTTCTGAACAAGCTATGTTATGTTATATAATACGTACAACTAACTACTAAATTTAGCAATATTATTTATCGTGCCAATTCGAAATCTTGATTATTACCGAAAATGTATTTATACTAGAGACGCCAATAAAACCAGCAATCCCCGAACGATAAATTGCAGAGCTGGTTAGCAAAACAGCTTGGTGGCCTAATATTTTGTAGAATAATTTCTGCATTATATAGTCTCCAATACCCTATAATTGACTGATAAGCTAATGTGACAATACATCTTGTCTCCAATACCCCATAATTAATTTATACAATACAATAGCTAATGCAACAGTACATCTTCCATACAAGGTAGCGATGGGAAAACATCCATCGGCTTGAGTACAGGACCTTTATGCCTGAGCTCTGATAATGCAGTCTCCGGTCTCATCCTTCTCGCTTCAGATGGAGTGCCTACTCCGATACGAGCAGCGGCGCTGGCAGCAACTACCATCCTCACAGCAATCTTTTCTCGACCCTTTACGGCAGAGAAGGCAACATCCATCGTTCTTATGCCCCTCATATTGATAACGGTCGTTTGGGAGCCTCAGTGCTTGAGCTCGATTTTTCGAGGCTCACTGACGGTTCATCTTTCGTCTGTATCGCCAACAGCTCACAGGGGACGGACCAGGTGAATTGCAAACTTCTCGGTCTTCTCTTTTGCTAGCAATGAAGTCGGCCGGAGTGGCTAAACTGATTAGTGAAGCTTTTCCCAGGCTCTCCTTGGGTTAGTTCTTGGGTTAAGTTTGGCTAGAATGTAATTTGCGAGCTCTGTTTCCCTGCTAAGATATTAGATTTTGCCACAAGTTTGTGTCGGGAATTTTGTATGCTTCTGTAGAGAGGCATGGGGATTTCAGAGTCGGAACTCGAATTATTTTGTTTTCATACTTAAAGTGAAAGAAGCAGTTGAAGAAGGAATGGAGGGAGCATTTAAAAGTAGTGTTAGCAATATCAAATAATTATCGTACCAAGTTTTGAAACCTAATTCCCGAACCCCTTCTGAAAAATAGCGGACTAAACTAGTTACAAAGTCAATAACCAAATTTGGCGATGTACTGAAATTTTAAAGTTTTATAATGTGATCAACCATATCGATTGCAGTTAATTTTTAGGATCAGCTCCTGACTAAAGTAGTTGACATCTTTACTGCGGCTTCTTCACTAATATTAATTATTTGTATAGTCTCATAATCACGAGATAAGATGCATACATTTCTTGCTTTGCTCGTGTATTAAATAATGGACAAGTTATCTATTCAGCGATATGAATTTATGTGCTTCTCTTGATTCTTCAGAGGGATAAATTACACGCGGATTTATATATTGTTCAGTTGTTCATGATGTCCTCATTACTCAATTGGATTCTGCTATATCATTATCAATGTTTCGACTATTTAGAACATAAATAAATGTTTATGATCAAATGCATGCGAAAGGGTTTTAGATTAAAAAAATTTATTTGTTAAAGCTTGGCCCAAGTTTGAATCCAGTGCAGGTTAAGTTGAAGAGTAGAAAGTTAATTCTGAGAGTAATATTCATTCGAAAAATATTACCAATATCCGTGATGTTCACAGTTTTAGTCGGTATAATGATTACCGTTCAACTGATGACGATCCGATGCAGAAACTTTGATTCTGAATAGAGCCACGGCTATCGTTCAGCGATCGCTCGTTTGTTTATGCTCATCTGATCAATTCGGTTTTCTCGCAGTACATGAATTATTGATGAATTTTGATCGGACTTGCAAAGCGAGAGCTGTTTTGCTCAACCGCAGGGATTCCCAGAAATCTTCAAATGATTCACTTGCGGTTGGAAAATTTGGGTGTGTTTTGGCTTCTTTTTTATAAGCTTTGGAAAATTATATTGCATTTGGAAATTACGTTGCATTAATCCTTATGAGTTAAATCTGATGAACATTCAGACTCATGTTTTCACGCAACACATTTCGGAGAATAATGAGCTCAAGATTACAAAACAGTTTTGATTTTTTCATTAGAGAATACGACCGATAGAGAATATCATGACTAAAACGTAAAACATTCATCCGTAATTTCTGAGCAGAATAATTTTTTCGAAGTTTAAAACATTATTCAAATTGATCAATCATAGCATTGATACCAAATAATTTATTGCATCATGGAATTCAGGGTCCCAATTTTACTTTTTCTTACTGGTATTTCTAAAGTCCTCGGACCTCACATGCAATTAAAGAATTTATTTAATCTCAAGATGGTCGTCGAAGTGAACGTGGAGCCAACTCTTCAAGTGGATGTTCAGCCTAAATACGTGACTGTGGATTTAGCCAGCAGTGCATCCTTCAGCTGCAATCCATCAGTTGCTTCAGCCTCAATTACATGGTGAGTTAGATGTAATTCTAATCCCATCAATAATATATTATTTTTTCAAAGTATCTTAGTTTTGAGAAGGTTTTATTATTGTATTCAAATGCTCTACAAGTGCGAGGTTTGTGAATTTGATTCGCTCATTTACTCGGAAAATTGAATTTTATTCATTTCAATTATGAGTAAATTTTCATCTTAAAATGAATGAGAAATAGAGCAGTAAAATCATAATTAGGGCAAATATGAGATTTTTTGATGATACACCGATAATTTTTTTACAGTTGATAACAAACATGAATGGGGAAATGATTCCTGTGGGGAAACGAGAGAGGCTAAAATTCTAAATTAGTCCCAAAAAGAGCGTTATAACTGTCGCTTGCACGATTATTATTCCTTGTATTGTCAAATATTTCGCGTTTACTAATGGTTATCGTTTTTTTTTGTAATTGTTTAAGTTCATTTCACATTACTCAATTAATTAATTATATTACAATTATAATTATATTACAATTAATTTTGAGTAAGTATAATTACTTCCGCTGTAATTTTTTGCTCATCTCTGCAATTTATTTCTGCCAGAGTGGTTGAAATTTTCGGTATGATCCGAATAATTACTGTAACCGGAACCATGTTAATTACCTATTGCTTTCCTTACCTGGAATTACATCGGAGCTAAATTTCCACATCCTTGCATATTGTTTCCATCGTCGGGGATTCAATTAGCAGGATTCGGAGAATAATTATTACAAACGGAATCCTAGGACCATGCGTAACGGGAACGGATCCGTACTATCAAAAGCAGTTTTCTCATCTTTGTCAGCTATTCAATGACACCTTTGAAAGCTAAATCCATCATTCAAAGACAAGAAATAGGCCGCTCCATGTACATAAGCCGCTACGTGTACATAAGACGCTGTGTGTACATATAGGCCGCTACGTGTACTTCTGACACATCTCACTATTTAGGAAGCCATGTTTACTTAGGCTGCTATATAAAGAAGGGCGGTTAAGACCAGAGAATTCATTAATTTAAAATTTCAGGGCCAAACAATTTTCCAGATGACGTTAATTGATCGAAATGCAGGTTCAACGAAGTTATTTTAATTTATTAACGTCGTTTCGAATGTAAAAAAATTAATTTTCAAGTTATATGAAGCATTGAATACAGAAATGTTAGCGGAAATAAGTGCTAGCTACACGTAAATATGATACAACACGAAAATTTGGAACCGTGAAATAACTGATTTATGCTATCTGAAACAATCTCAAAGCTCAGAAAATCTGGTAGTTATGAGTTGGATAGCTGGAGTCCAATCCGTAGCGATAAGAGCTTCAGTTATAAGCGGTCGGATGATGTCGGACCACTGCATGATGACGATGCTGGTGGGTTCCTCCAGGTTCCTCTAATAGACATAGTAGGCTGTAGGCTGCTATGTCTACTGCTATCTGTGCTGCTTAGACTGACACATATGTCTATTTAGGCCGCTACGTCTATTTAGGCTCCTATATAGGCTTCTATTTAGGCTGACCCGTATGTCTACTTAGGCCGTTACGTCTATTTTGGCTGCTATTTAGGCTGCTAGTTAGGCTACTATTTAGGCTGACCCGTATGTCTACTTAGGCCGCTACGTCTATTTAGGCTGCTATTTAGGCTGACCCGTATGCCTACTTGGGCTGCAACGTGTACATATGCGAGTTTTGTTAATACAGCCCCAATTTCTTATCTGTGTCAGGTACTTCAACGGTAGTCCTGTAGTGGGTCGAGGTCGCGTGTCAGCGTCAGGTCGGCAGCTGGTGATAGCGAGCGTGTCTCACGAGCACGAGGGAATGTTCCAGTGCTTCGCTCAGCTCGGGGGGCACACTGCTCAGGACGCTGCACAAATCGTCTTGGGAGGTGAGTTATTTTTTCAATTAGTTATGTTACTTAATAAGTACCTAATAAAATTACATATAAAACCTATAATTACAAAATTAAGTTGCTAGTCCAATAAATCATTATTTGAAATGCACTTTTAAATTGAGAGCTTATAAAATCAATACGCATTTTCAAATAATGAAAATCATTATTGTAAGTGAATATAACTATATAATGAATATAAATATATAAATCAATATTGTATATGAATATATCTTCACTTTGTGAAGAATAGAAATTAGTCGTTACTTGCCAGAAAAAAATTGACTTCTACACTAAGTTAAAAAAATATTTTGTTGACGTGACTTTTTCATGTAATGAGATATTATATAAATTTTTGTCGAATTTCTAAATTATTGTCGAATTTCTGAATTTTATTTACCTAATAATTCTGCTGGTTAAAATTATTTTAGAACTTTAATCTGGATATGAAAAATGAGTGTAAGAATGTAATTTTGGTTCAAAATTTCACAGACATATTTAAAGAACTAGAAGATCATGTAAGTTGAATGAAGACCACATGCATTTGAGCTATAGATACGTAAAATAATTTTCAAATGAGAAAAGTGGAGATTCTATAGTTGTTCAAATATGAGGCCAAGCCTAGGCTATATTTCGAAGTAAGTTCATAGAAAAAATATGCCAAGATCGTAGAATTTTTCTTGTTTGTTGTAGATCTGCTGCACAAAAGCGCTGCTAGGTGAGAGAGTTTGAATTATTCAGAAGAAAATGTTTCCCTACACGCGCGTCTGGAACACAAAGCTTTTGCGCACAAGAATTATTGCGGATCCTTGGGAAAGGTTGGGAGCTCTAACCAACAATACAGAAATTTGTAATCTGTGTCGGGAATGGCATGATAAAGGACAGCAGGGCTGTGATATTACCATTGTTATACAAGGGAGCTGCAGGGAATCCTAACCCTCTCTGTGCCATCCCTCGTACCGCAATCAGGCTCATCGTGCTGGCCATTGTTCCTAAATGTTGACGCCGATGACAGCCCTGCGACTGCGTTCATACACTGACCGTAATAATGCTTATGATATGTATTATTTGGAAACCTAATGTATCCAAATCATGATCAGTGACAGAAACTACAGTTTTTACGATTAAATGGCTGTTCTCATAAACGATTAATACTGAAATACAATCTTTTGTCATACGGAATCACCGGTTGGTATACACACAAAAAAAGAATTTTGTAACTTTGTTAAGTTTGTAAGTAACTTTGTTCAACTTCCACCAAGCGGGAAGTTGTCCCTAGTTACGAACGGAATTAAACTTGAAATTTGTTTAAAAACATAAATCTTTCATTCATCGTGATATTCGTTCAGGAACATGAAACATGGCATGAATTGACGTTCAGTTTCCAAATTTGCACATAATGCAACCCAAGAATCTCTTGCAATGAAATTAGCTCGTATTATCGATTTCACTATATAGTATATATGTTTATGTATATTAAATCGATTGAGAAGAGTGTATATGTATACTGGCAGTGTAGTTCAATGAAGTAATTATTTGTGCCAAGTCACTTCATGATACCAGCCAAAATTTAAATCAATACTGAAAAATAATCCTTCACTGGTTGGTAAATTTATCAAAATTTACTCAATATATTAAATTTCCCAATATATCAGTTAAGGTTAAATATGGAAATATGTTATTCGTTTTGTTCTAAATAATTTTTTTCTTAATGTTATATCACAATAAATGGAATAATAACAAATGTAAATTATCCGAGCGTCAGCTGGATATATAATTGATTTTAAATAAATTTAATTAAAAATATTCTTAGTCTAAAAAATAGCAATATCATAGTCTTAGATTTCAGGCAAAAATGTAACTTTTTTGGGCTAAAACTAATACATTTATGTTATCACATAAATGAGTCAAATATAGAACCGTGGCCGGATCGGCTCCTTATACGATACTATTTCCGAGGCCGTTATGAGCTGACTTACGAAATTAAGGCGGCAGAGGCGGGAGGTCTTAACGATTATCTGGCACATAAGAATATTGCTACTGCCGGCCTGCCTGGGCGTGACGATCGAAGTTGTACTGCCCAATATAAAATTAAGGGTGGCGCAGTGATGATTATAGGCGGGAGTGGTGGATTATAGGTGGCGTAACGATGGGTGGCCACGTCTGCCAAAAATCTGCAATAAAACACCAGTAAATAGAGAGTGTGTTGATAGATTCGTCTTCATATCCATAATTGGGACAATCTTTTTCTTTGTGGACCTTATAAGGCAAACATATTTCCGGCCCTCGTGTGGAAAAGCATATTTTAACCCTATAGGGCCACTCATATTTTTAGCTCTTACAAATGCAATCATATTTTCAACCTAAATCGTATCCATTTTATAAATAGGAATGACAATTTTTCTACTTGCAATTTACGGAAATTGAGAAGTATTTTTCGACGAACAATGACTGGCGATTTTCAAATGATATCTTTTCGTTCATTGTACGGCAATATAATTTAATGTGAATCAATCAAATGTCTTGGGATTAACCCTGTTCGAGTTCTGTTTTAAAATCCGCAGTTTGTACTGTACTGTTAATAAGATGACATACTGAAAAATTTAAATATTTTGACGTCATTTAGAGATCAGTGTGCCATGGTATTTGGAACTTCATGTAGGATCAAAGCCCTAATTAAATCAAAATAAATAAATCTTGGCCTCATTCAAATCCCAATTGAGAATTTTGGCAGGCTAATCGGAGGCCACTGCATTTCGAATGGTCAGCGGCATAAGATTAATTTAGAATATTTCCCGAGACAGAATGCACTGAAGTGATACAAGCAAGAAAATGTCATTTGTCCCTGTTATCTCATAAAAAGAACATTTTAAAATATTGGCCGACTTATCGGTTGCCAAGGGAAGGCATATGGCTGGCCGAAGATAACCCTGCCAAAGTCATAACCGGTTCATGAAGCGTCGTTGGCAGAGGCCCGTAGTGTCATTACTGTCGTTGCAGCAGACAGCGATAATTGCTGCCTCGGTTTATGATCGCGCCGCCTCTGATATTTCACCGTAGAGTTCACTGCGTTATATATAAAATTTCTCATCCCTGCAGGGCTATGGTTCGAACACCAGGCATGCCATGCTTACTGGTCATAACTTACGTAAAATTCCGCGATGTTTGTTGGTTTTTGATCAGTGTTTATGGGACAGGCAAGTTACGTATAGCAGCGCTGTGTAGACCGTAGTATGGATCAACTAACAACTTCACATTTTTTTTTGATCCATAGCTCTTTTATGAATCCACCCCATAGTTTGTGTGGAAATTTTTACACTTATATTGTGTCTGTTATATTATCTCTTATTTTATCTGTCAATCATGTTAACGACATCACGTCAAATTAAAACTCAATTTACAAAATTGCAGAATCGGCTCCCCTGTTGCACTACCAGTTCATCGAACAAACCATCCAGCCTGGGCAGTCTGTATCACTGAAGTGCGCAGCTGTGGGCAACCCTGTACCCACCTTGACGTGGCTCCTAAACGGGCTTCCCGTGCAACGATCTGATCGGTAATGATTGTTTGATTACTATAAAGTTTATTATATTAATTTGTTTTTTTTGCCATAATTCTAATAATTTTGCCACCAAATATTCTAGTGTTGTCATCACATATATTGGTAGCTAGTAACTATTCCTGATAGGGATAAATTTTTTTGTTTGTTTACGAAAAATCTACAAATTTAATTTAATCTCAACTCGAATACAACGTCGATGAAGTCGATTTATGTGTTACTTTCTAAACTATGTATCCCCATTCCATTAATAATTCTGCCGCATTCGTTGAGCCAGCGCCCCAGTTTTTCGATCCGCTTACTTTAATAGTGGACCAACTTTATCCCTTTTATACCTATATATAAGGGTCGGACTTCATCCCTAACTGGGATCGCTTTTTTGAACAGGGTTGTAAATCGGAATGCACTGATTATTTTAGATAAAAACTTAGAGAATTTTCAATGATGGATATTTATTTTCTTGTACGATATTAGTGTTGGAATCCTATATGAGCATTTATTGCCCGTTAAAAATTCAAATTCATGATATTCAATAAAGATAATCGATCTCTTTATCAGCGAGATAGCATAATATGCTTTACATTTCAGAAAAATAAGAAAACGCTAGTGAAGTCAGAACTCCGTTTACAGTAATTTTTACGATAAAGTTAGCCTAATTAATAAACTAATTAATAATTTGCTGATCATTGTTCCATAAATTAAACAAACGTTTCTTTGTAAATTAAGAGAGAAACAACTGTTTTTAATCCTCGTTCAACATTCAAGTGTGTTAATAACGGATGATGTTTGCGTTTTTTCACTATTCACGTTATAAAACGTGACAATACTGTGAGGAATAAGTTGAACTACTCGTATTATATGTATTAAACATTCGAGTAAATAATGCCTGTTTACTATTCAATAACAATGATTATAATAGCCACTAATATCACGAATACTGATGACTTTATCACTGTCTGCTGCAGAGTGTTAGTTGGGGAGCAGCCTGGGGCGCGTGGTCGCGTGGTTGGTCACGTGAACATCACCAGCAGCCGCGTGCAGGACGGCGGCGCTTACCGCTGCATCGCCTCCAGCAGCGCCGGCAAGGTCGGACATACCGCCAACCTCAACATATACGGTCAGTTGACCTTGTTTACTTTAGTTTACCTTAGTTTACTTAAGTTTACTTAAGTTTACTTAAGTTTACTTTAGTTTACTTTAGTTTACTTTAGTTGTCTTTAGTTTAGTTTACCTTAGTTTACCTTAGTTTACCTAAGTTTACTTTGGTTTACTTTAGTTTACTTTAGTTGTCTTTAGTTTACCTTAGTTTACTTTGGTTTACTTTAGTTTACTTTAGTTTACCTTAGTTTACCTTAGTTGTCTTTAGTTTACTTTAGTTTACTTTAGTTTACTTTAGTTTATTTTAGTTTACTTTAGTTTACTTAAGTTTACTTTAGTTTACCTTAGTTTACTTTGATTTACTTTAGTTTACTTTAGTTTACCTTAGTTTACCTTAGTTTACTTTAGTTTACTTTGGTTTACCTTAGTTTACTTTAGTTTACCTAAGATTACTTTAGTGTACTTTAGTTTACTTTAGTTTACTTTGGTTTACCTTAGTTTACTTTAGTTTACCTTTAGTTTACCTTAGTTTACCTTAGTTTACTTTAGTTTACTTTGGTTTACCTTAGTTTACTTTAGTTTACCTAAGATTACTTTAGTGTACTTTAGTTTACTTTAGTTTACTTTGGTTTACCTTAGTTTACTTTAGTTTACCTTAGATTACTTTAGTTTACCTTAGTTTAGTTTAGTTGTCCTTAGTTTACTTTAGTTTACCCTACTTTACCCTAGTTTACCCTAGTTTACTTTAGTTTACTTTAGTTTACTTTAGTCTACTTTAGTTTACTTTAGTTGACTTTAGTTTACTTTAGTTGACTTTAGTTTACTTTAGTTTACTTTGGTTTACTTTAGTTTACTTTAGTTTACTTTAGTTTACTTTGGTTTACTTTGGTTTACTTTAGTTTACTTTTGTTTACTTTTGTTTACTTTTGTTTACTTTTGTTTACTTTTGCTTACTTTTGCTTACTTTTGTTTACTTTTGTTTACTTCTGTTCACTTTAGTTTACTTTAGCGTACTTCAGTTTACTTTAGTTTACTTTAATTTGCTTTAGTTTACTTTAGTTTTTACTTTAGTTTTTACTTTAGTTTTTGTTTTCGTTTTTACTTTAGTTTTCACTTTAGTTTTCACTTTAGTTTTCACTTTAGTTTTCACTTTAGTTTTTACTTTATTTTCTACTTTAGTTTCAACTTCAGTTTTTACTTAGTTTTTGTTTTAGTTTTACTTTTGTTTTTACTTTAGTTTTTACTTTAGTTTTCACTTTAGTTCTTACTTTAGTTTTTACTTTAGTTTTTACTTAAATTTTGTACTTTAGCTTATACTTTAGTTTTTACTTTTGTTTTTACTTTAGTGTTTACTTTAGTTTGTACTTTAATTTTTACTTAAGTTTTTACTTAGTTTTTAATTTAGTTTTACTTTAGTTTTTACTTTAGTTTTTACTTAGTTTTTACTCTAGTTTTTACTTTAGTTTTTACTTTAGTTTTTCTTTAGTTTTTACTTTACTTTTTACTTTAGTTTTTACTTTACTTTTTACTTCAGTTCTTACTTTAGTTTTTACTTTATTTTTTACTTTAGTTTTTACTTTAGCTTTGACTTTTGTTTTTACACTTGTTTTTACTTTTGGTTTTATTTTTGTTTTACTTTAGTTTTCACTTTGTTTTTACGTCAGTTTTTAATTGGTTTTTACTTTAACATTTACTTCAGTTTTCTTTTAGTTTCCTTTAATTTCTTCTAGTTTCCGTTAGTTTCTTTAGCATCTTCTAGTATCCTTCGGTTTTCTTTTGTTTCTTATAGTATCCTTAAGTGTCTCTTAGAATCCCTCAGTTTTCCTTAGTTGCTTTTAGTTTACTTTGAAGTTTCATTTACTTTCCTTTGGTTGCGTTTAGATAGTACGAGTGATATGAGATAAATCATTGTTAGTGAATAAAATTTTAAATGTTGTGCACCTGTATGCCCAATGTGTGCTCACATTTTGAAATGTGCACAGTTTTTAAATGTGTGCCAACATTTCAAAACTAAACACTTAAACATTGGTTTTTCTGATCATTGAAATATCCACGTGTATTGCATTTAATATGTATTTCTTGTTATGTATACCGGTAAACTGTTGGTCCACCAGTATATTTGTCTTATCTTCGAATGGATTGAAGCTTTAGGCAAACCTTAAATTATTTAGATTCTGTTTTTTTCACTTAATACCAAAATTTTGAATAATCCTACTAGTTTGTTGTATGTGTATCCGAACTTTACGTGCACTGTACTGTTTATTGACGTTTTTTTACATAAGACCCATGGTCTGCTAGAGAAATTAATTTCTATTTAAAACCTTTCAATTTGCTGATATAAGACCCATGGTCTGCTAAAAAAGTTAATTTACATACATAATCTCTCAATCTGTTTATATAAGACCTGCTAAAGAAGTTAATTTCTATTTATAACATTTCAATCTGCTTATATTAAGACCATGGTCTGCTAAAAAAGTCAATTTACATACATAACTTTTAAAAAAACTTATATGACAGCCTGTGCAAGTACGTACAATGAAATATTATTATATTCCATGTTGACTGTGGTATATGGGTGTGGGCACTATTAGATGTTATTACCACATGAGACTATCTCTACAAATGGCTCTAAAGAAAATAGAATATTTCAAAAGCTTGACAGCAATCTGCATCGAATCTTAAGAATTCTGGCATTTCGTCCATATTATGATGTAACAAAAAATTCTAAGCGTTCATTCTTATTCTAAGAGCCCCGAGACAGTTCCCGCGATTATTTAAATAATTTTGAATACATTTATTTCTTTACCGGAATATATCTTAGTGAAGTGACTCGCAGGTATTCAAATTTAGTCGTACAGAGGAGCTGCCGCCTTTACTTGAGTGTATCATGCAAATGTGTAGCATAAGTTTCTCTTCCATGGACTACACTTTGGGACTTTCTAGAATTTAGTTATTGCGAGGGAACTTTGTGTGAACTTCACAAGGAGGCCCCAAAATGTTGTAAACTTTGCCACGGCTAAAGAAGTTTGAGAATTCCTCTACCGTGAACGAGGGCTTTCTCGCAAGCAATAACAAGACCGACATGTTATAAGAGTTCAGATGGTCCAGCCTCCTGAGTACCGTCGCTCGGTCACTCATTTTCTAGATGCACCGGGAATTTGAGCTCACGAATAAACAAAAGACTTCTTTTGGACGGCAATTTAGACTGCAGTCGCTGAAAACATGTTCTTTTGTGAACGTCTTCCTCCTCCGTAAGATTTTTTGTTCAATCTGAATAATGTAAATTTTAAGATCTAAAATATTGTTCTTGAGTACTCTTATAAAGTTTTGAGCTTAGAAATTGTCTCGTTAATTCAATGAAAGTATTTTGCAAATTTGTAATCTGGATGAATAACGTATCTAACGAAATGGTTTCGACGTGTATTTGTGATTATGTAACCATGCCTCATATTAAGCTTATTTTCGCTAGCCATAACCTGATTTAAAATTTATAACCTAATCGTCAATTTTATCAGTGATTTTTTTGGCGGATCGAGTTCAATTAATGAGCTTTAATGGTCATTATGATTGTTAATTATTATTTTAAGTCTGGCTAATAATTGTGCTTGACTGAAATATTTAGGATTTAAATTTTGCCTAAAATGAAAACCCTCTTCAATAAATACGGTGGATTTGGCAGAGGCGACAAAATATAAAAAATCTATGTTCGCGGCTTCTGTTCCATTTTTGAGCGACGTGAATATTCAACGCATGCAAATTCATAGCCAAGTTTATGCATTGGTTTAGCTGGTCGCCTGCCTGCTGCTGTCTGTGTTCGAGCTGATCGAATGAGCGTCACAATTTTTTGAGTTTCCTGTTTGATGAATTAACATTAACATTGCGCACCATCACAATTATGAAATTTTCGTATACCGTGAAAGTGACCATTATTTTTATTAGTAAGACATACTTATAGGTCTGAAGTTATTTTTTCTGCCTGATAATTTTCATTTACAAATTTACGTTCTAAAATTAACGAGAAAGATATTGACATTTAAATGCTGATATTTCAAAAATCTAAAAACATATCACTCACTATGCGTTAGTAACAGAAGACGGAAAAATGTATTTAAAATTATCAAAGATTTTTTGTCCTCTTACCAGGCGAACCGACGGCTCGACACACAGCGTCTCTCACCGCCGTAGCCGGGGAGGCGCTGGAGCTATACTGCCCTGTAGCGGGGTACCCACTGCAGTCATTCCTCTGGACCAAAGGTACTACTACTGCAGACATTTCTCTGGACCAAAGACATCATTGTAGTTTTGATTCAGGAGCAAAGTTATCTCTGCACTCTTTGGTAGAGAACACTGTTACCTTTTTATTCAGTCTTTTTGAACAAATGTACCTCTGTCTTCTACTTGTTCATGGCACGACTTGCATGGAACTGTTTTCATATTGAGAAAATTTTCATTCAAACCATCATTTAGTTGATCACGAAGCAGAAATTAGAATTGGAAAGGTGAAAATGCTAAGTTTATTTATATTTTCTCGGGAAGTAGGTGAGATAAACTGGATATTATAATGCTCATTTAAAAGTGATTTTATGACGATTGAATATAACGAAATTCTTCCGAATAATTGTTCGTCCGCTCAAAAAATGTTTGTCGCTCCTTTTTATAAAGATGTTCTCACTTAAGCAATGTTAATTTCTATACTGCGAGGCGTATTACTTGCCATTGAAGACGTATTCATAGCACGTACATTTTACAAAGGTACAATACCTCGCAGTCATTCCTCTGGACAAAAGATAATTAATTGCTTGGAAGATGAGTCTTGACTAATAGTTTCAGCGACTCGTTATTCAATCCAGTTGAGATTTGATTCTGAATTAGAATTTTCTTTTCAATTTACAGAATCTAAAGCAGTGATAACGTACAGCCCATTAAATTTATATCAATAATAGGTTTAAAATCTTTGCACATACAGACGGAGTGACATTGACCGGGACCGAAGACAACATCCGCCTGGGACCTGGCGGTACGCTGACGCTGAAGTCAGCTCGTAAGCCCGCTGACAGCGGCCTGTACTCGTGCAGCGCCAGCGTCAGGCAAGAGAGGTCAGCTTCTGCTGCTGTGCAAGTCGACGTGCTAAGTAAGTACACAGGTTCCTGACAGTTGCCTTGGAATAATGTATTCTTGAATGGGAATTTAATATAGGTGTTATTTTCCTGTAAATGTACTAGCTCAAAATAGCTAGGAGGAAATATTAGTTAGAGATACGAGTGCATAATGTTCGGTGATGGCTGAAGAGAATTCTTCATATGATTGAAGGAAAAGAAATGTGTAAAGGTTGTTGTATTAGTGCTCTATAGTTATTAGTATATTGTATATTCATATATAAATATATTCAGTAGGTAGACGAATCGCTGTGTGGAAGATATTTATCAACAATTTCTACAGAATATTGAGTTTCTTAAAAGTTCCCATTGTTTATTAATTCCACACTTTTAGAACCTATACAGTGCAATTTTGGAGTCGCAGAGCTAGAACATTAGAAGTGTCACGAAAAACAAAGTAACGACTTCAGTGATGTTAATTTTCCCGAATGACACCATAGTTGAGGTACATCACTAATACCTTAATTTCTTTACGAAGAACTAAGAACTTGGATTCGTTATTTAAAATCGTTAGCGATGTTGCCAACAGGAGTTTTAATTTCAAGCGTCGAATCAGATTTTTGGTTCATAGAATTGGAGGCTGCAATCACAAACGCAATTTCCATGATTTGGTTGGAAATTGCATCATGATTTGAAATTAAGTAATAAAAGTAAAACAATTGATTATAAAAAATAAAACAATTGATTATAAATGGAGTTATAAATGAATTTATGGTACACTACTGTCCTTGTAATCGTTAAAATTCTATACATTTTGTACCGATAAGTGTCATCCTGGGATTAGAATTTGAGGTAACACTATGATCAGATAATCGATAAAATTTTATCGAATTTGTACCGACAAGCTCTATATAAAGAGTACAATCTTGAATTTTGAATGATTAACGAATAGTTGAAAGCTGTCTACCTTACTATTTTTCTTACCTGAATTTGAAGTAAAATATTTGATATAATCTACATCTTTGCTTACGCTTATGCTATATGCACAAAGCGTAAGTGGCGCTCGTCATTCGTCTTTAAACATGTACCCTAAAATTTCCTCTTGCGCAAAGAGCTTTCAGAAATTCAATGAAGAATTTCAGAGTTGCAATGTTCTGGACATGTCTTATTTGCGTCTTCTTTCGTCCGTGTTGGAGCCACCAATACAAAAGTTAGTTCCCTATTTCAACGAGCGTCAGAGCCATTGAGAGCATCGAGTTCCCTTTACTCGAGGCGCTTGCATATAAATAAATCTTGGAGGGAATGTTCACCCATTGAATTCAGAAAAATTGTGGTGTTTGGGATAGCCAGTGTTTCAAAATGGTACGCGGGATATTTACTAGCAATTTTTGGTACATTTACCAAATCAAACTCACTGAATGAAAAAAAACCAGAGTAATCCTGGAATCATCTACATATTCTCATTTTGAGTTTATTCATTGCGTTTCCACTTGAATTTAAATAGTTCTATATTTTTCATAGCAATATTATTCTAGCCCCTGCATTTTGAGTTTAGCACACGATCTCAGAAGGGTAAAGTTTCTCAGACGTTTAGCATTTCTCATGCTTAAGTCCGAGTGGGCTCAAATCAATTTTTAGAAGAGCTTCAAAAATGGCGGGAGAAATGCGTTCCCTCAATGGCGCCAGCACGTGACTGGAATGCAGATGAGCAAAAGGCGTTGGCGCTCAAGCCGACTACCTTGAATGAAGTCGAAAACACACTTGAAAAGCTTACAAGATTTAAAGTCCCTGTCGGTGGCTGCATTTGAGCCTCAAAAGAAGTCGTTATTTTGAATGTTCAGGATATTGACCCAGAAGCTGTTTAGCTGAGCGAAGTTTACTTGGTGGTCTGAATGCAAATTGGATGAAATTAGAACTCTAATGTTTTCATAGGATATTGCCTGTGGTACTTGGAGCTTACTTGCAGTAACAAGTATCATTTTCTTGCAAAGTGACTGCAAATAATGCGAAATACAATACCTTTACTCGAATGGCTCCCAAATGATGACACCTAATTCATTGTGTACAGTATGACTGTTACATCAAATAATAGAAGCGTGTCAGTTTTAATCTCATTCGTCGGAGTTAATGCACTGCCACACTTCTCAACGTCCATCACACGCGTCCATGTCTACTTCTTGCAGCTGCCCCCAGGATAGCCCTGGTGTCGACGTCAGACGGAGGCGTGGAGGCTGGAGACAGAGTCACTCTCACTTGCACAGTTTCCAAAGGAGATTCTCCTCTTACGATTATGTGGTACCGAGATGGGATTCCACTTCCCAGTCACGGGTCCCGCACTGATGATATTACTATTGTGTCCCTCAACGCATACAATTCTGTTCTTGGCGTCGAGAGAGTGGGCCCAAGACACGGAGGTCGATACTCTTGCAGGGCCTCCAATGCTGCAGGCACCGATGTGCTCGCCTATTCTCTCGTCGTCAATGGTACATGTTTGTGTCTTTTATTCCTATAGCCTGCGTTCTCCTCTCTTCTTTAACATTTGTGTTTTATTTGCCCTCTCTACAGTTCCTCCTCGCATAGAACATTTTTCATTCAGAGAGGGTTTGTCAGAAGGCATGCGAACCCGGGTGGTTTGTGGGGTATATCAGGGCGATCAACCGTTGAAACTAGCATGGCTGAAAGAAGGCCAGCTTTTGCAAATGAGCGGGCATGGTGGTGGTGGTGGTGGTGGTGGTACTAAAGTGAAGGACATTGACAGCTTCTCTAGCGTGCTGACGCTAGGACCTCTAACTTTGGATCACGTGGGTCGGTACTCCTGTAGAGCCTCCAACAGCGCAGCCACCGTCGAAGCTGGAGCCGATCTCACTGTGAACGGTAAGGTGGTGCTCATGCTGCACGATCGTCGTGATCGTCAAGATTAAGATCAAAAGACTCACCGTAGAAAGCAAATTATATTGAAGTGAAAGCACCTCACATTAGCGTAGTGGCCAAGCATCAGCGCACCAGCACCAGTTTAGCGCACTTCGTCACTCGTCAAGAGCACGCCTCTTATTATGTGCGCATGTGCCGGTCTTATGGCCGGCGAGTAGCTTACCTTCATTTCATTACCATGGGATTTGATGACGATTACTTAGTGCTCAACACGATTTACATTTTGATTAGCCTTGCGAATTTCTGAGAAAATTATTCTCTCTAACATTTGCGTTATTTCAAATATTTTTAACCATCATTTTGTGCTCATGTCAGAAACAAAAGAAAATTAAATTTCACTGTAAAATTACTGCCATTTTGCTTCATGTGTGATCGTTCTATGTTCTCACGAATCGTCCATATCCCGTATAAGTTTTTGGCTTGAGACTGCCACGTGTGGTTCAGATTTGTGAACTCATTGCTTCATAGAACTTGTTATGCCGTAACCTCAGCAAAATAAGCACACTCGAGCTCCGTGGCGTCTGAAACTGAAAACATTTCATCCGAGGCTTTCTTTGAGTTCGCCTTAGCCTTTGAAGTGCTCACTAGATGGTATACGTTTGTTTACAAACGGAAATGCAGGTGAGTCATACTTGCATGGAAGCCGTGCATGATCTATGTTTTGTAACTTTTAAGCTTAGATTTCTGTGACAAAGCTCTTAATATTGAAAACCTACCAACTAATTTGCATGCATGAATTAGTACAATGAGAATATCCATTTCGTTGTATGGTAATTTCCACCTTTACTGAAAAGCAATTTTTCATGTTTCATGGCAGTGAATTTCTTCTTCAAACCTATTATGTACTCTGAAAAATAACAATTATTGAACTCGATGTTTATCCTTTGTTTATTTGTTCCTCATATGAAACTCAAGGGCTAAATGTCTTAGGACTATTATGAATAGTATATTTAATTTTATTTACAGGTACTATTATGTGCTTTACATTAATGACTGTTGAAGAATTGAAAAGGATCTTGGAAATATGTACGAAATGTAACACACATATAAAAATAACATTACAGAACACGTAATTATAACAGGCAATTTACAATCGTAGGGATTCACCTAAAAATACCCAGAAAAATATTGAATAAAACTCAAAGAGACAAGACATTATTTGCTGGTTTGTTGGAATAAAAGCCGCCATCACTTCAAAATTAAAAGTATGAGCATATACTCGGGAATAATAACGATGAGTTTGCGCGACACGGATCATTAAGCATAGTTTTTTGAGAGACCAAAATGTCGCTCACTTAATGAGAGCGCTGAAATAAAGGCATAAGCTGGCTGACGTAAATCACGAGATCAGCTGATAAGGGCAACTAATACATCAACGCCTTGCAACAACTGCGATCACTGCTGATATGGCACGCACTCCGGCCACATGCTGCCGTGGTCTATTTATTTTATGGGAAAATAACCGTGACCACGACACACACGACACGCACTCCGGCCACATGCAACCGTGGTCTATTTATTTTACGAAAAAATAACCGTGACCACGACACACACGACACGCACTCTGGCCACCCGCAGTCGTGATTGTATTTATTTTATGGAAAAATAACCGTGACCACGACATGTGCAGCACGTATTTTTCATCTGCAGCCGTGGCCGTATTTATGATTTGTACAATAACCGTGACCACGGCCCATGCTGTGTGCATCTTGTCTGACTGCATCAATTTTGCAATTAATCATTCAACAACAAGGTCGCAATCCATAACAACGCGAAACTTAAATTAAAATTCGCGTAATTCATGACACACAACTTTGAGAAATATGCTTAAACAGCTGCTGCAGTGTTGGACCATAGTCATCATTTATTTGTATCGTGGTTAGGTGAAACTGTCACGATATTTTTATTGTGCAGTGTGATTCTCATCTGTCACAGACCATGGAAAGAAATACTTTACTTCCAGTGGAAGTATTATCGTTTTATCTCATTTACCAGATGACTATTATTATTTTTACTTGTTAATGCGGCTGTGAGAATCAAATGTGAATCGGTGGTCTGCATCAATCCCCGCTCGTTCTAAATTAATTTTTTAATAAGGACTGTATTTATACCATAATTTGTCGGAAATAACTTTGAACGACTGGTTTAATTATCACGAGATCCTATTTAATGTTAACCCAACTCAAAGTTTATTCTCTCTTCCCTGTAATTTTCATTGCTATACTATAAATATCATTGAATTATCTGTGCGTATTATCATTCTGCATCACCATTGAAATTATTTAAATATCAAACTGATCGTCTTATTCACCATCGTCGTCCAGTGTCGCCCTCATGGCTCTTGGAACCGAGTGACGTCACAGTCAGCAGGGGGCGCTCGCTCACCCTTCATTGCAGGGCTCGGGGGGAGCCGCCCCCTGTCGTCACCTGGAAGAGGAAGCTAGGTATGGAGGTTTCGTGTCCAGATTATCGTAATATATCGTGATGGTTTGCTTGACGATGCATTAGGTTTTTTCGACCATATTTCAATATATTATTATCGAATGTTCGTGTCCAGCTTATCGTAATTTAATTTGATCGTGTGCTTCACGATGCACTAGGTTATTTTAACTTTCGTTTCAATATATAATTATCGAATGTTGTTTCCTGGTTATCGTAACTTAATGTGATCGTGAGCTTCACGATGCACTAGATTATTTCGACCACTATTTCAATATATTATTATCGAATGTTGTTTCTTTGTTATCGTAACTTAATGTGATCGTGTGCTTCACGATGGGCTATAGGTAGTTCCGAGCCTTATTTTTTATTTTTCAATCGAATTTCATGTTGAGAATATCGTAATTCATTGCGTTCGTGTACTCCAAGATGCACAAGTTGTTTCAACCTCAATTTTTTAAATTTTATTTCTTTCATGGACTTGAATTATCAGGTTAGAGGTTTTCTGAATAGTATTACTTTTAGAGTGAAAGTTATGCGATCCGCAATGCTCACTGATTAGAATAAATCAGATGGAATACGACAATCAGGGTGTTAAGGTGAAATCCATTTCTGCATTATCATTCTGCAAACTAAACGGACCGATGAGAATACATTAATATGCGTTATCAAGACATTTTATCATGCCTTCTATCACGCCACTAAAACTAAAATATATAAAGTGTTTGGCTTAACCTATACATATTCAAATTCAACATTTTTCACTATAGATTTATAACACTATACTTTGTTGTTTTAATAAAAAATGAATTTACACCAATATAAACTTAGGGTTAACAGGAAGGTGATCGGCCTCGTCTTATTGCAAGTAGTGAGAAAAATTTTTGCTTAACACGCATGAAGCAACAAGATGTTTCAGGTAATGCAAATAATTTCCAGCATAAGTAACAACTGTAACAATATTTGCACGAGGAATTTGGACGTGACAAAAATATACTTCATTACAAAATGGAACAAGTATTTAACCTGAAATTTGTTCTGAAAAGTTTCTGTCAATAGCGTTTGAGAAGGGTCAGGGGGCAACTACAGTTCCCCTGTTAATACGAGTGCTCTTTATTGATGTTTGCCACAGCTAATAAACGCGGACTAAATTGCTTCTATTTTATTGGTACGATCATTTGCAGCGCGCAGTTGCACAAGATTTGATGGAGCTTTCACTGAAATCATTAGATGCAAATAATTTACTTAAATCTTCCTGTGGGATTTACTTAATTTTATCAAATTCTGCCTATGCTCTGAAACTGAAGAGCTCAGTATCAAAAGGGGTTTATAATTTCTCAATTTCTTTGATATATGTGATTGTTATTATTCATCGCACTCTGTTAAGGTAATCGTCACCCAATTCCATTTAGCACATTTGTGCGCAAGCTAGCTTGATATAAGAGCCAGAAAAATTCTACCAAGTTAATCCCTAGATTGCATTCCCGTTTGTTTTCGAGAATAATCCAGCGCAATTAGTTTCTTAACTTTCCTCAGTGGGGACTCTGCATGGCTGTAAAAAGTCTACGATAATCAAATAAGAGCTTTTCATTCCATTAGTGCGAGCTATAGCTCGGCGTAATTGCGTTCTGTGCAGTAACTTCTCATTTCTCGGTCTCGTTCATCCAGCAAACTCTGAAGAGTTCGTGGCGCTTGGCAGCAACGGAGGTCCAAGAGGTCCCCGAGTTACGCAGCTCGGCAACGGGTCGCTCTACTTTGAACAGACTCACCCTAGCCACGGCGACGCTTTCATGTGCTTCGCTAAGAATTCTGTCGGAGAAATCAGCAAGACGGTTTCTATTTCTGTAACGTGTAAGCATGGTGACATTAATATATTAAAAAATAATTTTTCATCGGTTTCTATCTCTGTGACGCGTAAACTTGGGGATATACATATATATTAAAATTACGAATTTTTTATTGAGGTATTATGTATGAATATGCTTTCGTCGAAATATGCATCATGAAGACTTCATTTTTGGTCGGGCATTCACGAATGATCTATGAATTTCAAATCTGAAGAAAAGAGTCAATGTAAGTTTCTATCAACAACGTTAATTTTATACCATAATCAACACATTTTATTTAAGAAAATTATTCCAATTTTTGTACATTTGGCGTTCATTTATTGTCATTTCTTTTTGGAATTCAATAGTGATAAATCCATTTATAGAAAACGTCTAAAATTAATTTAATAATCCCTTAAGAAACAGATGCATTGGCACTCGTTATTTTTACCTGACACACAGACATCTTGTTAATCCGACTCATTCAACATGAATTATACCTGGAGACTGAATTGTGTTCGCCCGTACTTCTGACTGCTGCAAACACAAGAAGCATATTCGGGATTATATTATTTAAATTTGACAAATAGCTCAGGATTTTTTAAACGTCCTCTAAGTTTAAATATATCCCACCGTCATTTATTGTAACAGCGGCCCCATACTTCGAACAAGAGCAAAATCAGGTTTCGGCTCGCGCGGGCGAAAGTGTCGAACTGACGTGCCGTGTCAAGGGCGATCCAACCCCCACGGTGCTCTGGGTGCCGCCGTCCTCCAACCTGCGGCATCTCACCAGGTAATTACTTCTTCTCGTTGGGTGAAGAATTAGATGAAGATTCATTAATTCAACTCTTTATAATAAGGTACTTCATACATACAAATACAAAATATCTAAATACAAAGTACTTCATACATAAAGTATTTACATACATATTTTATGATGAAGCTCGAAAATGCATTGAGAAATAGATTCATCAAAACATTTTTCTACGGTAAAACGATGACAATGGTTGTTTTAGAATTCATCAAAACGATTACGTTACCGTTAAACATTTCATACGCTAACAATTCTATATGTAAAATTATTTATTGTTGCTACAGAGTCATATATCTGTAATCATATGCCATACTTGATTATCATAATTTCGAACCAATTTTTAACATCACTGCATGTGTTCACTTTCTCATGTTTAAGTTCTTAAATTGTGTTTTCTTATCATGACCTCGAAGACACCACGAATCTACAGTGCAAGAAGACCGACATACCGTGCTGTCTGTTCTGAGCATCACGGCCGTTCTGGCCAGCGACGCTGGGCAGTACTCCTGCACGGCAGCGAATGAACATGGACGCAATTCTCTCGACATCCGATTAGAAGTGCACGGTAACGACTTACCAAAAATATCTAAACCTTGCACTCTTTTGTTGTTATTGCGACGGTAACGACATACAAAAATATCTAAACCTTGCGATCTCTTATTGTTAGCGACATAGAGTGTAGAATACGAATGGTTTTCTCTTTATTCACGAATTTTTTGATTGAATTTTATGGTTTGTATTCAAGAATTGAGAGTTTTGTTTGAAGAAATAAGGTTTTCCCTCTGAACCAGAACCCCCGTCTTCACCCCATGGCTTGCGGGTGCTAACTCAAGGATCCCGCAGTGTTCGTGTAGTCTGGATTGTGCCGGACGACGACTCGAACTCCTACAACCTGCAATACCGCGAGCTCAATGCCAAGTAAGATATGAGTGTTATTGTTAATATGTACAAACTTTCTATGAATTTACATGTATCTCCAATGACTGTTCCCATTCATAAATGCTCTAGCACGAAGTTTTGCATAGAATTAAGCAAGAGACCCACATAAGTCTTATTGTACAAAAATTATATTTGTTTTCAATCCAAAGGCGCCGATAAATAAAAAAGAGCAATTAAATTCTGTAAAAATCATAGAAAAACTTTATTCATAGTATTATGTTGTTATCTTTAACTTTTTAATGCTAAATGGCTTTTCAATTTAAAGGCTATCGCTTTCCAGTTGAAAAAGTAATTCTTTGTCGTGGAAGGCCGAGCGATTTTTGGCGTATTTTATTTTTTATTGATAAATTATTATACTTTATCACAGAATTTGGTCGGGAGAGGCTGGACACGATGGTGGATTGAGATTAGGAGTGGATCCTTCGCCGGGATCAGCTGGAGCTGAAGGATCAAAGTGGGAGGCTACAGAGGGAGAAGTTACAGTGGCCGCGAGGGAGGCCAGAGAAGGAGTTTTGGTAAGTTCATTTTCTGCTATGCATTCAAGTGAGGTAAAATCCTAGCTCAGATAGATGCACGAGTGCCAAAAGGATAAATGGGAATTCGATTATTGTTTATTACGATAAATTCCTTATTTGTGCTACGAGGGACATTGCCACAACTATTGTTTAAAAAATAAATGATTAAGACTTGCTAGGCGAAGAATAAAAAATACTTTGAATGAACTCCATTTGTGCCGAAGTTGGAAACAGTGCAGTGAACGATTGAATTCTTGGTAAGTGAATGGACATTGTATAATAAATTTGTCATGTATATATTATACGTCTTTAAATTCTTGTCTGGTTTAGTATCGAGATAGCTTAAACCTTTGATATTTTGTCAAGTTAATTCAGAGTTTTAAATTTTTCTTACAAATCTATCGCAATTATTCTATTGAGAAGCTGCTGCGAATGAAACTAATACAACAAATCGGATTTGGGGAATGTCATCTTGATTACAATATCGCGAGCTGGAATTGCTTTGTTCGTAGCTCAACAGAATTCCGATCGAAACCATTCCATTGGATTTGGCTTTGGATTTGTGCAATTCTGTTTTCTTTGTGAAATTCGGTTTCGTTTGTGCATTTTGGTTTCGTTTGTGTAATTCCATTTTGATTGTACAATTCGGTTTCGATTGTGCGATTCGGTTTCGATATTGAAAGGCTTGGACGGAGATGTACTCGCCGATGATATAACCAATGTCTGGATTACGTCGCATTCAATTCAAAGCTTTGAATGGTCGGAATGCCAGTAACGCCGACTCAGTGGTTCGGCACCGTGTTGTGGCTGCGCTGAATAGACCGCGATATCGAACATCCAGCGCTCAGCATTGCGAGTGCAAATCGCGTTATAGGATTAAGGCGATGTTCGCGGACAGCCTGAGTTCTGCATTCGCTTCCAGGATTTAGGTCTTGTAATCTTTTGGTAAGCCGCACAGTTTGTAGCTGAATAGATTTGTACCAATTGCATAGGCGCTGTCGACATTCAAATCTGTTAATTTTATGATTTGGTATAGGAATAACTGATGTTGGTCTTTTGGAAAGCTTGCGTAGGTTCAACGTAGAAGAAATGCCATTAATAAAATTAGAACTTGGTTAGTAAGAATTACCAAAAATTTGCCAGTAGTAGCGATTCTGGTCCGATGCAATGAAATTTGTGAATCAAATATTAACACGATTATTTCCTAACAAATTATGAAGCTAATTCATTCTGACAAAACTGGTCATGAATGATCTTATGATATGATTTTTTGTAATATTTATTTCTGAATTGTCATTATAAAATTACTTTTTCAGCAAGCACTTCTCCAAACCACAAATAAAATAGAGCAGATTTACATCGACATCTTTATCAGTGCCGAACCTAATTTTATTTTCCAAAATGAAACACATTTTTTGCTTTTTTGCTAAACAACTATATTGTAATACAGCCAGCGTTATAATATCAAAAAGTTCACCAAGCTCTTCATGCATGCGGAGATCTTTTCTTTTGAATACAACAGACTGAAGCCAAAAATGCCGACATCGCAGTTTTTCTCCGTGTTCTCGTTCATAAAATGCAGAGCTTGGCACTGACACTGATATTAGCAAACTATTGTGAGCGAGACGGCCATCTGACGCGCCCCTGACGGCCTTTCTATTGCCGCTCGGGCCCGGGCAAAAACAGGCCAAAAATCGCCACGAATATATCGAAGTGTTGTTATGTAACACGCATAATGCGAGCGGTGGAATAATTTCAGCATTTTGTTTGTTGAGACTGAATTGCAGTGTGTGTATAAACTCAATTTCAATTGATGGACAGATAATTACCTTTTAATTTTTTATCGCGTATGAAAAAATTAACAATGAAAATTTTAAATATATATAATTCTAAGAAAAATTATCATTGTAACTATTGAGAATGGTGAAGACGATGGTTGCAAAGGCTTTAGTTCAAAATTTAGACATGATTATGCGTGGTGGGCTAATGAAATCGGTCATTGACAGTGAAACATTCGGTGCGACGCAAATCGATCGTCGTGAAACAATTCTCATAAAAAAATAATAATAGAAATAAGGTAAAAATTCCAAGTTCTAATAAAAAATTACAAAATATTTTTCTTTTTTAAATGACGATCCAAATAATATATATAAATAGATTTATTCGATTGGATGTCGGTTTTCTTTTGTCAGTTGCCAAACCTGGTGCCGGCGACAGAGTATTTGGTGCGCGTGATAGCGACTAATCAGTTGGGGCGGTCGCCCCCTTCCGAAGAGTTGCGCTTCATCACGAAGGGAGAGAAGCCTGAAGCCCCGCCAAGAGCAGTGACGGCCGAGGCCCTTGGCCCCACTCAAGTGAAAATCACGTGGCGGGCCCCACCGCCTGACAAAATTCATGGGCCCTTAACCGGATATTTTATTGGCTGGGCGGCCTCAGCAGCGAGAAATAGGTGAGAAATTTCGACATATAAAACTGAGCTGAAAGCTTCATTTAGAAATTTCTTTAGTGAATATTTTACCGAAACAAAACTATTATTGATAGCAATAAAAAATTGGTGCTGTCGACAATATATGATGAAAAAGCGCTGATTGATGAAAAACTTTCAATATGAGAAATGCGAACTTGCCCGTTTATTGTGTTGCATTGTTATTGCAACGATGATTTTTATAAAGACTGAAGAGCTGATAAATGTGACAGAAGCATTTCATGAATAATTATCAATTAGTTCCATGCTCTTTTATGTGAGGCTTTAACGTATTTCCGTCAGTAAAATGCTTTATAAGGTTAGTCAGCGCTTGCTGTTTTGGCGCTTCCTATGTTTTTTTCGAACTGTAATTCTAACACGAATGGCATGCGTTAATACAATATACATTCAACTCGTACAATGCGAGTTCAACTCGTGCAAACGAGTTAATTAAGGATAAACTGAAATTAAAGCCACTTCATTCATCCTCGGAAACAATTCGACTTGTATTATTTAGTTCCATAATTAAGGCGAAAAAGGTATTTTTTTACAACACTTGAAGATATCTGGCTTAATTAAAATAGCCAGTTTCATTACTTATTTTTTGAGCAAATTAAAACGACGAAATGAATATTTGTTTGTACAATAATTAATAATTCGCAAGCGATTAACTAAATACGTTCGATATGGCTGCAAGATGCATTTCATCCAAAATATTTTCTGAATGCGGGATCAAGCAAAAATTACACAACATGCACAAGCTAAGCTTTCTCTCTCCCTACACTTACGCTTGCTTTATCACTTGAATTAAAATTCACTTGCAAAAAAAATCGTAATTTTGCTGTGTTCACTTCTGCAGGTTGTCTAATGCCATACAGTACAACTTCACAACAATCGAGTATTCCAACTCGGAGTACCTAGCGCCGGCGGACGATGCATTACTCGAGCACAAAAGTACTCACGACATAGGCACCCTCTGGAGTACAGTACTGAAAGACCTGCGACCGAACACTGCGTATACGATTGTGGTTAAAGCATACAACCGAGAAGGCGCCGGACCCATGTCACCACCGGTCACGGTCAGCACCATGGAGGATGGTGAGTGTTGTAGACCAAATTATTGTAGCATATTACAATTCGTTAATTTTTATTATTTTGACCATTAATTACTGATCAGCTATTCGGTAAAATCCGTGTCCCCGTGTTTTAGATTATCATGCAGTCTGCTGAAAGTAAATAAACCGGTACAAGAAATTTGTGCTTCATTAAAATATTGTCATCATTCACAATTCTCGATTGTAAGTTATGTAAATTTTATATGATTTATTATGAAAAAAACTGCATGGAATTTTTGCGCTCTTCCTAGTCTCGTAATAAATTTTTAGTATAATGTTATGTAATGATACTATACTAGTACTATTAACGCTCCTCAACATCGCCCAAAGCTCAGTTTGGCCACGGATTTACTATATCAGACGAAAGTGTTAAGAACTTTGCGAATCAATGAGAGAACTGGCCTCCGAGGCATTCTCATCGAGAACTTTATGTGATAATTTATTTGCAGTTCTTGCGACCAATTGACACTAATATTTAAACCTTTGTTCCATAATGATTTCCCATTACTACATCATTTTTCTTTATAATCTGCATGTAAACATTCAAAATTTTCCATGAATCCAGCCAATAATACTATATGTCTTGCATAGACAAATTCAATCTACAGTTATGTATGTTTATACATCTAAATTCAATGATGCTGTAGCAATAATAACTTATATTTATATAGATTATTTATATAAATATTTAAATATATAAATAAATTAAATTATTAAACAATTAAATAATTTATATTTATATATATTATATAATAAGCTAGTCCGAAATGAAAATTCGCATTATTTACTTTGGCTTTTTGGCTTTTATTTACAAATTGGCAGCCCCCGGAGCTCCTCCACGAGAGATGCGCTGCTCGGCGCTGTCGCCTGACAGACTCCAGGTGTCCTGGGGCGCTCCAGACCCCAAGTTCCATAACGGACAAATTCAGGGATACAGGTCTGTATCGAGTTTTTTTTTTTGGCCGGAAACTTGTTATACGCAAATACTGTAAATTCTTAAGTTTGAAATTTTTCGAAATTCGGCTAATGTTTTTGGTGCAAGCTTTGAGGGAATAGAAATTTTAAAGCTGTATGTGTTCGGTGACTGTAAAACGACTGAGAAATAGACTCGCTTTGTGAAGAATTTCTTTCTGATATCTAGAAAAAATTGCGTAATATAGCATAATTTTAACATTTGCTCCAACGCGATTCGTTTCCAAAGATTGCATCGAACTGTTGAAAAATCTTCCTTGTAAACAAACAAGCTATATCTAATAAATAAATAAATGAATTAGTGTAGTTAAAATAAGTTATCTTTACTTAAACTTAATGCATGAATGCCGTCAATTCATGAAACAATTTCATTCGTAAAGAATCGAACGACTTGAAGACTGAACAAAACAAATTTCCGTTCAGAGCCTAGACAGCATCTAAGCTCAGCTTAAGCCTTTTCAGCCGTAATTTGTATGGCCTTTTTATTGAGGTTCCCACCGCCATAAAAATCCATCTTCGTCAAGCACTGTGCGGCAGTTTGTCTTGAGTCGAGCTTCAGAGTCGCTTTACGTTTCGCTCGGCTAACCAGCCTTGCTGTCTTCATCTCACTCAGAGTCGAATACGAGGTCTGGGAGAGCTGGGAAGACGAGTCTTTACATCGCAGCCAGACCGTCGGACAGACCATTGTTTTGAAGGGTCTGGAGGCAGCCACTAACTACAGCGTCCGAGCGAGAGCATACACGCTGGCTGGAGACGGTCCATGGGCTGATGCTATTGCTTGTCTCACAGACGAAGACCGTGAGTGTGCTTAAAATTATCGTCTCATCGTCACTAAAAAATAAATTGGCTTGGATAATTATCTCTCACGTTAAATTGATTTTCAAAAGAGAAAAAATGGCTCATTTTTATATCTACAAAAAATTATATTTCCATGTCAGTACTATCAGGAAAACAGAATTCCTCATCAATATTAACATATAAAACTTGACAGTATTTGCCGACTTCTACAATTTTAGCTACAGTATTAACCGTTCACTTGCAAAAAAGGAACGAGGTTCAAAAAATTTTCCCGGCTGTATTGTTCGAGCGACTGTCGTCAGTGAAGGTCATTGCAAAATAGAAATAATGTAATTCCACTAATAACATCCTGTCAGTCATAGAACGTAATAAAGATCTTGCGATGCTCATTTCGCTATAAATTTCTAAGTTGTTATTATCTTCATTATCAGTGCCAGGCCGGCCGGAGTCTGTGCGGGCGCTGGTGTCGGCAGAGAAAGCGTTTATCGTATCATGGATGCCGCCGTCGAAGCCTGGCGGACGACTGATCGCGTTTAAGGTTGCGTGGCGGAGCTCTGGATCAGTTATCAGCCATGGCAGAACTGGCGCCACTTCAGTGCCTGGTACGGCGACATGGACACAGGTTTGTTTACTCTCTATTTATATTGAACTAAAAATAATCACCATTATATTTAGCATATTCTTAGCATATTATAACATCAACGGAAGGCAGTGATGGCCGACGTATTAATTTACTTATCATGAGTATGACATTTTTTAGTGTACCGATACATGTGTACCGAAAAGAAATTATTTAATCATTTTCGTAATTTGTTCTCGAAGTAGCTGTAGAAACTTTAATACAAAATTTATTTAATTACATTTTTTCATTAGTTGCTCGTTGTTGGAACATTCATTCTGAAGAAGAATCTTCTTCGTACTCAGTCATATCCTAAATTAATCATTTTTATAGTACAAGTTTAAGTGATGCAAATATTTATTTATTTCTAACAAAGATTGAGGGAGTCGAAGGCAATATAGTCGAGGTCGAAGTGAGCGCCTCGACACGAGTGGGCGAGGGACCTTCGCAATCGACTCGAGTTACTCTATCTTCAATCATAGCAGCTTCAATTTACTCCTTCGGAACTGAAATAAAAGTTCGGAAAGGGCAAGATATTACGTTATTATGTCATCACGTGGGCGAACCAATACCACGACTCACCTGGGAACATAACGGCCGCAGGATACTGGACACTGATCATCAGACGGCTGATGATGAGGGCAGCCGTAGAAAATTACTTCAAGGAAACGGTCGGCTTTTGGTACAAGATTCCCAGAGGAAAGACAGTGGCAATTATACTTGCTCGGTCTCTAATGTCCACGGCAGCGATCGGATTACACATTCTCTCACTGTAATTGGTGAGGCTCTTGAGCAATTTCAGAATTAAAATAAAATTGTTTTTCGATGTTCGATGGAAATTGCAGTGACACTTTCATATGAATGTTAGACGAAATTTAGTCATGAGATTGAATTAAAAATAATATTTTCATTAAGGATGATCGTTTAATATTTATAGCAATTTCATGAAATAATTCTAGAGGTACAAAAATATAAAATGACAACTGCTTTTACGTAAACACGCAAGGTAATCCGGCAGTGAATATTAAAAACCAATAGGTGCTTCTGATTAATGAACGAAAATAAATAAGTAAAAAAAAGTCGACTAAAAGTCAAATGAATAACGAACGAATATGAATAAATGGATGTTATATAAATAAAACCCAATTCTAAAATAAATAAAGAAATGACGTAAAACTCAGAATATAATTTATTCCACCATGCATGTATATTGTTTAGTGTTGTTTGGTGTTTTTTAGAGTTTTTTAGTATTCTTTTGTGTTGTTTAGTGTTGTTTAGTGTTTAGTGTTGTTTAGTGTGAATATTCTGCTGCAGTTCCGCCATCAGCACCCATGGTGCTAGCCTCCTCAGCGTCCGAGTCGTCAGTGCGCGTGCAGTGGAAGGTCGGGGACACGGGTGGCGCGCCCGTCGTGGGCTTCACCCTCTACTACAGGAAGGATCACGGCCCATGGTCGCAAGTGGCGGTCCATAAGAGGGCCAGGGATATGGAGCTATCGGTGAATTATTGCAAACGGATATATTTTACCTTTGTTCTTAAACTTATGTGCATATTTGTTGGATCTTCTTTAATGCAGGTTTCATTAAAGACCAGAGAGTATTTCTTATTGACAATTTTCTTATTGGTTTTCTCTATTTGGCGAATTAGGCTCTTGATAGGAGCTGAAAAGTCAAATATCAGGTTTCCAAGAGACATTTTATTATAATTTTAATTTTACGACGTGTCGAATTCTACTTCATTCATTATCAAAATAAATTTGTTGAATCATGGATGTGTTAGCTGTGGGGTATGAACTACGGGGCTTGACTTATCTACCAGAAGTAAGTTTATCAAAGTCTCGATAAATATTTCCGAGAATTTTTCTTCAAGTAGAATTACCTGGACAGTTGATCCGCTCGTACGGCCCCTCATGTTTAAAAATCATTAATTAAATTCTGTATTAAAGTCACGGATTTCAATTATTTTATTTTCAAGATCAAAATCACAGGTCCTGGTACTAAGCTTGCTGGTTGTCAAGCCACCAACGTGGCACAGGACACCAGCAAAAAATATCATGAAATGTAATTCTCGTTTATAAGTACTTTCATCATTATTTTCCTTATACCGACCGCATGATAGCACCGATTTTAAAACCCAAAGTAAATGCAGTAAAGATATAATGAATTTAGTTGGTATTTTCTTGTATTTTAAATTCTCGGTATTGTTTCCTCCCCTAGGACCTGGACTGTGGGTCCCGGTATCATGTATACCTGGTGTCTCGGAATCAAGTGGGCCTAAGCCCCGCCAGTGACACCGCTGTGGTCAAGACCCTGGGTGGGGCCCCGCTACCCAGTTCCGTGGGCCAGTTCCTTCAGGCCAACAGCTCAACCGTGGTTGTATACCCTGAATCTTGGCTGACCCAAGGTTGTCCCATCACTCATTTTCTTGTTGAATATCGACCAAACAGACAATCACATTGGCTCCAGGGTGAGAATTAAATTTATTTGATGATAATGTGCTCATAAGCTCATGTCAATAAATTATAGTAAAATCAGTAGTTTACTTAGAATATTAGTTATGATGTAACATTTCCTGTAGGGAAATTATATATTTCAGTTCTTGGACAGTTAATCCTTGCATGCACTGGAATCTAAAAATGTTCAAGTGAATTTTTTATCTTCTTCATTAGAGTTTCTGCACTTCTACTCGTCAAATAATTCAAATTATTCATGATCGCCATGAAACATTCTAATTAATCAAATACACCAATGATACCAGTTGGTATCACATTCGAACGAAATTTTTTTAGTTACAATTCTTGTAGCAGAAAGATTGCTTTAAAAATCATTTGCGCTCTGCGGCCGTTATCTGGATTGGTATTATAATGCGATAAACAATTTAGAATTTTTTTGGGAAGACACATATGTGCTTATTATATGAGGCCGGGAGTGTTAAATCGCATTATCACGATAGTTTCCGATTTATTCTCGGAGAACGAGAGTATCAGGACCAAACACTACTATAGATACTTTACTGGCTTTCTAAGCGATAGGTAAATTAGTACAATGAATAAAAGTGCACAATTACAAAGCTGCTCAAATTGAATTTAATATTCCCTCAAATAAATATTCGTATGCAGTTGTGAGACGTGTCAGTTGCACAACAATGTTCAGAAAAATATTGTACGATTTATAAATACATTAATAACAGTTGGTAAATGACTTGCAAAAATAATGGTCAGTGTAACAAATAAATCATACAACTCAATGTTGGGATTTCTCTTACTTTTTGATCACGGGTAACAACGGTATATTATAGAACAAAATAAAGTAATAAAGTAAGAAATTTTACGAATGAGTGATATGATATATAATCATACATTGTTTTGTGACGTGGAAAAATGTAGAACATAATAGCGTACGACGAAGAAGCGATTTTATAACGTCGCATGACGTGCTAAAATAATAATTAATTAAGAGTTGAGACTCGATAGATAGCAATAACAAATTAGATTCATTTGATGACGTGCCTTAAATGAAAACAGGACACATGAAAGAATCCTAATAATTAATGCTTAATAATGTTTTTAAAATATAAGTTAGTAATTAATTTAAATTACAATAATGGATGATATAATAAATAATAAATTGATATACTAAATTAACTGTACTAATTTATGAATAAAAAACATTTTATAAATTAATAAATATCAGGAGCTTAGTTGGACAGATCGCACTGCCGAGGTGAGAGTCGCGAATATCGTCGCATTTGCTCGGCGTTGCAGAAAGATGCAATATTTTGTGCCATGCAGGTCTCATATTGCCTGTTCGCAGGATGTGAATACACGCATGACAGATGAAAGCAATCCAATTTCACGGACGTCCAGTGCAAGATATTTCAATGATAACATTTCCAGTGTGGAATGAAGCGAAGCTTTTTTTTGGGCTGTCGGTTTCCACAGATTTCTGGTGTATTCGCATTTACACGTCACTATTAATCTGTATATATGGGATTTTACCTGATGATTGAGAAACTTGGAATAAAAATTTCCCTGCACTGTTAAACGATATCTTATTGTTCAATCTATGTTGATCTGATAAGGCCGATCTGATCTCCAATTGATGATTTACGATAATAATGATATGAACATCCTACGAAATCAATATTATCTTTTTTTTAATGCAACGATATCCAGCATAACCAATGTAATTAGTAATTAAATAATTTAATTTGCACTATTTCCCAACCTCGGTTTGCTAGAACGCAATAGTTATTATTGCCCAAAAAATATATTTCAACGTCACTCTGTCTTTCACGCCAGAAAACAGCTCCCCTCCGGACTCGTCTGATAGCAAAGGCGCTGCCCAGGATCGCCAGATCAAGGATTCGTTCGTTAATCGAGATGCCAAAAATAACATAGAACACCGGGACCAATTTTACGCTACGATCCGCAAGATCCCACCGAGGGAGTCCCAACAATCCGACCAGATTCCCGGTAAGCTCTACAAATAGTTCCTGACCATTCATTTTAGCGGCGCGAATCTACAGAGACAAATATTTTTCTAGAAATGGAGGTGATGATGAACATGCTGAATAAATCTCTCTCAATGACAGAATATATTTGAATTTATTTTTTACTACTGTGGTAACTCATGACAGAAATAGCGTTTCTGACAGACATTCTGATTACGTTCATGGAAGTATTATAACGATTCTATATTGTGATTACAATTTGTACTTCCAGCGTCATTCCGATAGACTCGTTGAGCTGACGTCAAACGTACCGCTTTCTTATCAGATATTAAATTAGGGAGGCATACATTTGGCTGTGTTAATCCATACATTGGCTTTGTTAATCAAAATTAAAAATTATTCAGTTTATAATATTGAGAATCCTGATTTCTTCCATTATTTCGGATTACTTACTTCCGTCATTGCGGCTGTTATTCTAGTGAAGTCTGAATCTTCATCAAAAATTTCGAGCATTCAATTTTGTCTTATCAAGTAACTTTCTATTTCATATCACGTACTGTCCTTAGTAATTTCTGAATGCTTCGTATAAAGTAAATTTCCACAGAAAATGCTTGTTCGTATCATTAACGTCTGGAAAGCTTTTTCCAACCCATTTTCATTTGCATTTCGGACGGGAAAGTAATTGCTACAATATTTATTTAGTTTTCCACTTTGCGGTAAACCACTGAAGGCGCAATGGGCTGATTTGCTGTCACATTTCCGTGCAGTGTCTTCTCTTATTGAGGACGAAAATTACTGAGATTATAGGGCTTTAAGTACATCAAATGAGGATTGATTCCGCCACGATCTCCTTCCCATCATCAACTTTCATAAAATTCCTGTTTTTTTATATAATATTCTATAAAAACTCTTCTGATCAAAGCCTTAATTCTACAATGTGAGCTTCGCCTTCAAGCAAGTTTTTTCTAGCATTATTATTCATCTCTAATTAAGGACAATAAATTCATATCATTACCCGCAGTTCAGAAATAAACGGAATAATTTCTTTTTCTGCTGGAAATAAATCACGATGAGAATGGAGACTGCAAGTGAATGAATATTTATTTTTTACATATGATTGTTCTACGTATTTTTATATTACATTTTTGGAATTTATTTATGCAGAAAACGCCGAAGATATCTACCCGTACGCTACGTTCCAGCTGCCTGAACAGCCTCCTGAACAAGCCATGCCCATGCTGTCCATGTACCACCAGCGTCCTGATAAGGTTATCTAGATAAGGCCTTCGAAGATATTCTGATTGTGATAACGATACTGATAGATATCTGTTAATGAGGCGCAAAATGCAGCTGGAGATAGTACTGCGAACTTTCCTTAACTAGTTGGTAATAAATAAATATCAGTTATGCTAACAATGTTGATAGAAATATGAATTTTATTGTGCCTGAAATTCTGGTAAAATTTATTGGCCTTTAATTAAGTTCAATCGAGTACGGTTGGTGTTCCGATTACATGATCTGGTTTCTAGTTATAATAATAATAATAATTATTAATATTATTATTTTAATTGTGTTATTATTATTGTTATTATTATTATTCATATCATTTTATTAATATTGCCAATAGTAGTATAAAATTCCGTATTTAATAATAATCTAAGTGCCAAAGATTTATTAGTCTGTTGATGTTGGCTACCTACTGTAAGTAAAAGAACGAATATTATTATTGTTATTGAATCATACATTATTTTTTTCAAGTCTCGGGCCATTCAAATACATAGTAATTACAGTCGATAACGTGCATGCAACTCTGCCCTGAGCAGAGAACTGACACGTACGGCAAGACGGAGCGCAGGAGCGCCCAGCAGCCACGGCCTGGCCGGCCTCAACTGCCTCAGCCTCAGCAACGCGGCCACGCTCGCTCCAGGAGCCGGAGTAGGATGCTCACTCCAGGTGAGTGGGGCTCACGTAACGGAGTAGAGGAGCAAGATGCTCACTCCAGGTGAGTGGTGCTCACTCTAAGTGCGTGGTGCTCACGTAACGGAGTACAGGAGCAAGACGCTCACTCCAGGTGAGTGGTGCTCACGTAACAGGGAACAGGAGCAGTATGCTCACTCCAGGTGCGTGGTGCTCACGTAACGGAGTACAGGAGAAAGATGCTCACTCCAGGTGAGTGGTGCTCTTGAAATGGGGAGTCGGAATCGCAGCTCGAGTCAATTGCTAAATTTTTACAATTTTATATTGAATTTAATTATTCATTTATGTGTTATTATTATGTTACTTATCATTTCTCACACGACCTAATAAAGTGAACAAGATAACGCATTTCTTTTCACATTCTATAAATATTTTCAGCAACTCGTATATAAGACTGAAATTTAAAAACCTATACTTTGGTTAGGAGAGCAGCACAACGGTTGTGAATATGTTAAAAACATATTTAATGTCAGAGAACTTGAATACTCATGATCCCAGACTAATATGTTTTTCTCTGAGAGCTACCTAGTATGAATACAATATTAACGACCGAAGCAGGACTAAAGTTTTGCATTAAAATTCATTCAAAACATTTAAATAGTTCAAATAGTCGGCATTCCCGTCTCGATCTCAATAGTTCTCACTCTGTTCCACCAGGCCTAGGCGACAGCGAAGATTACGAAACTCTAGGTTCCGAGACCGAGACCGACCACGCAATATCTTCACGAACCGAATCCTCGAACCAGCTCGACGATATGTCTACACTCAGAGACCATGGCTTGATTTACGCCAGGGGGCCCTTGCAAGAATTACAGTCTGGAAGCGAAATGGTCTATGGCCCCAAGCCCAAAACTTTGCACCGCGACAAGCCTAACAAAGAAAAGCCATTGGTTGAAGAAACCGAGTTCCAAAATCGTATACATCACAGTGAGTATGAAACTTGTTGTTTAGGTTTATGTGGGTCTTGAGTTCATTTATTGTTCTTGCTGTTGTTACGTCTGGACTGAAGTTCTTGTTTCGTGTTATTGAGTAAGTGTGCTTCCTTTGCTGCCGCGTATAAACTTCTTATTTCTCGCCGTTAATTGTCTGCATATTTCATTGTTTACTTGATTTTATCCCTTAGATTCAGTGGTAATTTGATTACTGTTTTAAATCGTTTATTACCCATTTACATGAAAATTGAAAATTTCAAATATTGAATCATTGTTTACTTCTGCACCATTATTCTGATTCTTTCATCGCTACTTCTTTATTTCTCCCATGTTTTTCCATTCAAAAAATATCATGAAATTCACAATGAACGAAACGCGCCGCTAAATTTTGAGCATAATTCTACGTTATCGAATGCAGTTGAGGCTATTGAATAAAGAGAAACAGCTTAGACATTATTTAATTTATTACTTCAAAGTTTACTCCTAAATTTCGTTGAATAAGGGAAGCAAAATAAGATAAGGACACAATTTGTTTGTATGTAATTAAAAAAAAATGCACTCGCAACCTTCGAGAAATGTCGAGATTACTCGCTAGAATATGCAGTTATGTTTAGCATATTATATCTTCTTCAATTCTTCCTTTTACTTACTTAAGTGAAAAATATCTGTTAACAATATCAATATTCTTTGGGTTCAGTTTTGTCCACTGCATTTACCGTTGTAATGTAGTGGAACTTCTACTACATTGCACTTCTACATATACATACTAATAAATGTATATAGACAACTTTCCATCAGTTTTGATAAATATTTTAGGACATTTACTCAGCCAATTATAGAATGTACACATCATGTCACCATATTGAAAATTTTGAAAACTCACGATGTTGCTCAACTTGTTTATTTATCTCGAAATTTTAACCTCTGCATCATTCATCGTCTGAATTCTCACAAGTACGGCATGTTCCCTTTTACTAATCCTTTTCATTTGAGATCACAGGTTGGTAATCCCATGGTTGAATTAATACATTAATTCAACCATGGGTAATCCTTCCCATTGTTACCTGGTAGACTAAAAATTAACACAAAAGCCTTTGAAACGCTAATTATATTGAATGTGATTTGTTTTTATTGTTTATTTTTATTGGTGGGTTTGGAAATCCTTCCCATTATTACCTGGTAAACTAATAATTAACACAAAAGCATTTGAAAGCTAATTATATTGAATGTGATTTGTTTTTATTGTTTATTTTTATTGGTGGGTTTGGTAACCCTTCCCATTGTTACCTGGTAAACTAAAAATTAACACAAAAGCCTTTGAAACGCTAATTATATTGAATGTGATTTGTTTTTATTGTTTATTTTTATTGGTGGGTGGCTTTAGTTGTGGTGTGGTCCGACAGACTTGCTGTATCACGCTGAGTCCAGTTCACCCTCTCCCGAGACCTCACCCACAACTCAAAGAAAGTCCTTCCCTCGGCGCAACAGACCGAGGTATAAAAATCTCGCCAGTAATATTCTGTATTGTAATTACAGCGGTAAAATATTCATACTTTGGGTATCTTTGGAAACCGAATAAGTATTGCTTGAACTAATGCGTGTTATAAAATTATCCTAAGAAATAATTAGTCACCAGTTTACTTGAAATTCACGGATATCAATAGTATAATATGCTAAAATGTCTGATTTTTTTTTATTTTATGTCCAAGTCAACAGCCCAGTTATTTTCAATTATTTTCATGAGCAAAATAACATTCACTTGTCAAGCTAGGTGGTTCCAACTCTGGACTCAATTAGTTCCGCAATTTGGCTCCATTTAAATGAAATTCTAGGAATTTCAGCGAGAGGAGTCAAACATGATTTTGACGTAATTGGTTTCCCTTTTCAGTTGAAAAAAATCCGTGCTAGAGTATGCTCAGCATGAACGCATTCTTTTCACTTTGCATCGGCGGCTCGCCGAATCCCAAACATTTAGGGCCCGTGATTCAATATCGTTATAAACTAACATTTTTTCCCGTTGATAATTTGAGTCCATTAAAAGTGTCGTTGAGAAAGAAAAAAATTTCTCTTTTTGTTGCCATAATTAAAAAAATTATGCTAAAGCAATGTTTGAAAAGTGTATGTCTTTATAATAACTAGAAAGTAAATTTTTCGGTGACTGACATGCAATTAACGGGACCTGAGATGGAATGATTGCCAAAACTCCACAAAACCATAGCTTTTGTTCTAAAATCATTCCGCATGCTTGCTTCCTTGGCTCGCTTTGGCGCTTGGTGATGCCTGAGCTCGGATGGTCCATTTATATTTCGTAGAATTTTAAAGCACGCGCATGGCTTCGTCGCACAATCAAGGCTACCGCGTTTCTAGAAAGTTATTATCATTCACTTTCCCTCTCATTCATTGTCATTGTTCCTTCCCTGTATATAATAAATGTACTCCGGTCAATAAATTATTCCTGAATTTATATTTTTATTTCTGACTGACAGACTGGCAGGTGATGGCATCAATATTGGGGTTTAAAATGGACATTTCCCGTCAAAGGAGACTTGTCTGCAATTCTGAATGAAATGCTTTATTTTTGTCACCTTGCTCTTGCATAATATCAACTGTTGTGCCTTCTATCAAAGACTGAATCGAAATTACGTCATTTTTTATTCGGATAATTGACAATTATTAGGCACATGATTAACCAAAAGATATAAATTAGACTATCTACATTCAATAGTCGAAAGCAGATATTTTGAAAGACTGACAAATTTTTTACTCACTGTGATAATTTTCGATATATTTTGAATTGAATAGCAATTTATCTGAATTTTATCCTCAAATGCTGGGATTTTTCTGTAAAATTTACTTTAGTTCGGGATGTTTATATAATGGATTTAAATTTCTGATTCATCTCGGCCCGTTCCAAAAATTACCTATCGGAAGAATTTTGCGGGACGCCATACTGAACAAGGAAGGATATATAATGCACTGTAAGGAATATTTAATATTCCGAATAGTAAACAGAACGGAATTTTAGGTCTATTTCACATAACTACATGGAACGCAAATTATCAGAGACGAGTTTTCTAATACATATTTTCAGTGGCGACTTTATGAATAGGAATATTATCAGTTTCAGCGCGTTTCCTGACACGGTTTTTTGAAAATCGATGAATATTTTTTATTCTATAATTGTATTGCTGAAACATCGCCGTTTATTGATGCTTCAGCGAATTTAAGAAACATTTTTGTATTAGAATTGCAAATGGAAAAATACATTGGATGAACTTGATTAGAAATGAATACGGAAATGATGATTACTAAACTTGAAAAAAATTAATAACAATGAATTCTATGAGTCGACGAAAAAATAACGACTAGCTGTTTCCAGATGAAAATCAACAGCAAAATTTAGGCTGTCCAATTTGATTTACAATCATACCATACTTAATACAATAGATTTTTTTGATGTATTAAAATAAAAAATAGATTTTTATTTTTTGATTTGAAATATATTTGTTGATTAACTATCAAGAATATATGCCTTGCCCTCATGTATTGAGTTCCTCTTTTCAGGTCTCGCATGAGAGAGCCCGAAGTGAGCACAGGAGCGGCTTCATCGGTCCTCAAGCCAGGCTCCCAAAGTGTAACTGCCGGCGAACGCCGCCAGCAACAAAGCATTTTTCAGACCCGCCGGACTGATTTTTCTGAAGTTCCATCGTCGCAGTTCAGAGTTAATGACAGTAACGACACACAAGGTGCAAACGCAGAGCTCTTTTATGAGCGTGGAAAAAGCGACTCGGACTTTAGCAGAAATCTGGACTCCTGCGTTCAAAAACCGAAAAGGGCGACAAAAGCTGTCGCTGTCAAGCAAAAACAGGCGGGCAGTGAAGCGAAACAGGACAGAAATATGACTGGGTTCGATGTTTTAAGCAGTGATTTTTCCATAGCAGTGTGAAAAACATGATTAATACTTACTGCTTGACCAACTGCTAAGACGTAAAATATTATTTAGATGTACATGGATTGCCCGCAATTTTCCGTCAGTCTTCCTAATCCCAACATAAAATTTTACGGATCGAATGAATTTTAGCAAAATTGTTTCCTTTTTTTGGTTTTTCAATGACATTATTGCTACACAAGTTAAAATATCTGGTTTTGCTTTTATTGAATATGTGGCGGATTGTGTTTCCATCATGCAAAAATTTATATTTTTTGCGGAATTTTCTAATCAATCGACCGAAAACAATCAGTGTTGTATTGAAACATATAAATTCATTAACAACTATTAAAGGTACATATTTTTAGCCGAAATTACGTGTCCTACTTATCATTATATCAATGATCGATCTTAATACTCGGTATTAAATGACAATAACTATCAGTAAGAATTGTCGGTTTCGGTAGTGAACGAATTTGATGTTTTTCAGAAATGAGATTTTATCCCACTAGCAATGTCATTGTTGAATCAAATTTAATTTGTCATTGATCAAACTTCTAGAATAACTGTACCAGAATAAATTATTCCAAAATACTGTTTCAAATAAAAAAAGGAATTTAAAGAAGGGGTCAAGAAATATTATGTTCTTTGTATGACAACGCGTACGATGAAGATGCACGTCAAACAATGCATGGAAATAACTCGTTGTCATTGGTAACACCAAAAATAAAAATTCAGGACAACCTATCAATATAAATTTGTACTCAAGATTTTTAGAGATTCATCCTGTACAAATATCAGAACCCCAGTTTATCGTAGTTTGAATGAGATGTTTCAAGTGACATTAATGTGATGTGTAGTTCGTCGTCGGTCTGTTTCCAAACTATACATCAAGTAGCACATAAGTAATGTGGTCATAGACATGATAGAAATTCCGTTACAGACTGGAATCAATTCTATATAAATGGTTTACGTAGTTAACAGAAGTTTTATTTTCCTCTTTGTTAATTCATAACACTTGAATGTGATTTAAAAATAACATCAAATGATAATTCTAGAGGAGGTACAACGTAATATTCGCTGGCATCATGAAATTTTATTCTGATTGAATGATAATTGGAAAGCCCCAAGTTTTTGAAAAATGATAAAAAAGGAAAAATGGGAAATAAAACCTGGTGATAAACTCATGTTGAAGTAGCAAAACATTTCGAATGACATGATTTATCATGTAAGAAAGGCTGCGTTGCACTGATCGACTCCACTTGTATGAAGACAGCGTTGATATTCCCCATGGCTTTATTAAGTAAACGAATTGGCTTCGCATTCATCCATTGCTTTCCGAATTCATCCAAAAAATGCAACGTGGTCAATCCAGCCCGGTATATTATGCACGGATGTGGTTTTGTATTCGTTTATTGCATTCCGGCCTAAAGTAAAAGAAGGCAAATCTCAATTGGTTTATCATACAACTGAAGTGGCTTTGCATTCACCTGTTGCTTTCAGATCAATGCAGCAGCTGAGACCAGGACCCAACATCCATGAAGCATTCGCTTCGAGCGGTTTTCTTAAGAATTTTGAAGGAGTTTAGACTCGGGACTCATTTCCGCTTGGAAGACGGGATCATTTCCGAGCGTCTGATTCGTAACGACGTTTAGACGACTTCAGGTCTTGAAGCATTTCAGGGACTTCAGTTCCGTTGTTCTCAGTTCCGAGAGCAACGTTTCTTCACAATTATGGCATGACCTTACAGGTTGCGGAATTCAAGGAAAAGCACAAAATGAACCCCGAAGCGTTGCTTGGCAACCTAAAATCCTTACTGAGTATTGTTGCGCCTTGGTCTTTGCGGAGACTGTAACTTCGTTGCGGAAGAGTGGAGTTTGAACTGCATTTGAGCCGTTTTGGATAGATTGTTCTTGGAATACTGGCATACTATTCCTCGTTCTAATACCAGCGATTCTTGATATAACGAAAAATTTGTAAATTTTTTAAATAATTCGAATTAATTTTCTTTAGACTATGACTTAACTGAACGCGAGTCACGATTTTACTAATAGTGAATCTGACAACATATAATTAACAAAATATTTTCGTTTAAAAGCACACGAGATTGGTCGAGGCCTAATTATCCGTTCTTAAATCGGACGAAATATATATTGAATGCATGATATATACGAATTAAATGGTACAAATTTAACCGTTTTTCAGCATGAGGACGAACTTGCGGTGCGTGTTCTTGATGCTTGAGTAATTTAGTTCATAAACAAATAGGAGATAAAATCTCACAAAGCCTTGCAAAGGTACTGATTGCGATGAGTATCAATTAAACAATTAGTTTTGAATTGTTTTTAAACTATGGTTTAAATGGTTTCTACTATAAGAAGAGTATAAAAGACCATATAAAAAATCAAGAGGAAGTATTTCAGTATACATATTTAGGATTTAAACTACTAAACAAAACCATCGCAATATAAAAAGTACAATAAGAAAAAATATAAAGCAAAGGGAAAATGGTAGGTTAGTGTGTGTTTTTGGCGTCGCTGGCACTCCATTCGCTGACACTTGGCGATGATGCACGACCGCCCAAAATAATGGTTCTGCAGGGGCTTATATTGCCGCCATTGTTGAGTGTCTAATACTGCCGTTTAATAACGTCGGTATAACGTAATATTGAAAATGGTAGGTTAGTGTGTGTTTTTGGCGTCGCTGGCACTCCATTCGCTGACACTTGGCGATGATGCACGACCGCCCAAAATAATGGTTCTGCTGGGGCTTATATTGCCGCCATTGTTGAGTGTCTAATACTGCCGTTTAATAACGTCGGTATAACGTAATATAATAAAATAATATAAATATAATATAATATAACGTAACGTAATATAAAAACGGCAGATGAAATATTAAGATTGTTTATATGGTATTTGTTTTGCTTTATTATGCTGCTACTATTTAAGAAGAAAAAAAACACAATTTTAGGTGAATTGGAGAATAGATAAATTATTGTCGAGTACGTTTCATTCGAAAATATTTGACATATCGAATTAAGGGAAATGCTTTAAAGCGTACAGGTATTGAGATCGGAATTCGAATCTTGATTAATAATATTTCTCTGCAACCTTTTAAAAGATTAGAGACAGGATTTACGATATCAAAGTGAGTATTGAGAACTTAATATGTGATACTAGTACGATGAATGATGTACGATAAATTTTACATGAAAACCGCGATTATGAGGCCCATAAACTGGCCGATCCTTCCTGGCGAAAATAAAACGTATTTTATGGCAAGGTGGCGACCACCGCCACAGCTTCTGTGCCGGAAAATGATCCCGTATGTCATGTAGATAAGAAATTTTACCCTCCGTTCGGATCCTAAAAGTAGGATGGCTTCAGCAAAACGACTTACGACCCTCATGCGTGGCTGAACCTAAAGGGTAGATTCTCGTTTACAAGCGCTCACTTGGCCTAAACGAGGAATAAAAGACTTTTTTTGTGTGTTAAATCTNTAACTATTATGCCAAAGTAGAAACTTCAAATTCTTTTTTCAAACTGTTTTTTTAAACAAGAGAACGATTTATTCAAGGATTTTTAAGAAATTGATGTCCAGCGTTGAAATTCAAAATGACATGCTTTTTATTATGGAACACTGAACGAATAGAACTTTACCGAGGAAATTCCTTGTAAACGATATGAGGAAAATATAACAAGGCTCCAGGAAATGTTTGAACTCGGGACTGTCACGCTTGAGTTCAATCCGATTCTACAGTCGAACATTTTCTATTTTGAATTTTATCGAACGAATTGGAAATTTTTGCTCGCAGTCAGCCGGTCTTGCAGTACTTGTTTAAATTGGACCGTAGTTGCATGTGAGTGGGAACCATACAATTGAGCAGGTTAGGAAAAATTTTTTTACTCAATGCTTTCTTATAATTCAGCCATAGGAAATGCCTTGCATTGATGGATTAAAGCTAGGCGATGAGAGAAAAAAAATAATTTTCGATATTTTTAATAGTGATTTTTGACGAATTTCAAGACCTGAATAAAGTTTTCTTTCTATGACTAGAACGATGATAATATACTGATAAAATCATTTGTTAACGATAATGGGTTATGAAAACGAAAAAAAGATCACCTAGAACATATAATTTATAATGTAATTGATTCAGTTGGCCTCTAGCGAGGCCAGCCTCAGAATAATCCAGTCATGGGTGGGATTTATCCTAAGTGAAACCTGAGCCTTCCCTAAATGACAGTGCGTCCATATTGTTGAAATACCAATTACCGAGCTAAATCCATATTTAGTTGCAGAAATGAACATGGCGGATCTTTTTGAGGGAACGAAAAAACACGTACGTGTTTTCAATGAAAAAATCACACGACGCGAAATTTTTCAATTTTTCAATAATATATTCCAAGAAGAACTTTGGAATAAAGGCTTTGTCGAAGTGTTTTTGATTGTTCTTTTATTTGCTTACAAATTGTTGGCGTTGTTTATCTCACAATATTCGATAAAACGATACAGCACCATTCGCTCAGTTGAAAGCCGCTCAATGATCAGATACTATATACTATGTAGAAATATTTTTAATTCGAAGTTCCTGCATCCTTCAACAACATATCAAACGAACATTAGAAAATCAGCCCAACGTCTCGTCGGAGTTGCACGAAGGATTATTTAAAATAAAATTTATAAGACGTCAGCGAGGGAATTGTTTCGCAATGTGTACTGTATTACTCAGCGAACGAATCGCACATTCGTCAGAATACCTGCTATGTACTCAGTCCCACTACCAATTTCAAACCACATATTTACAAAGATTTTATACCAGTGTCCAGTCAATGAATGTACCTGATAATTATTTAATTGTCATGGTATTTCTTTAATACCACTAATGTTCTACGCTATATATTAAAAGCAACACCATACGTAGATTACTACGTTCATTGCTCTGTCCTTTAATATTGAAAGGAAATTAAATTTTTATTTAGTTAACGCCGCAATGAATCCGAAAAAAACGAAGGCCTAAAGCAGCTTGATATTATATAAAAATGAGAAAAGTAGCTGCAAAATGTTTGATGACGTAAGCCTTCTGAAGTTTAGCTAAGCCACATGAGCTTAAATGAAAAATATCTCAATTTCGTTCCCTAATCTAACTGACTTTAAAGCGGCATGAAGATCTTCACACATTTCTTTCAGCAAGCGCTGGTATTTATTATACTTTTAACTTGAAATCTCACTAAAAAAATTATTAGGCTTCGATTCAAGAGAC